ATGCTCACAGGCTTCTTCATATCCTTTACCCTACATAATTAGTTTGCACGTATTCTTTCTCTTCTAGTGTTTTAGTTATCATCACTATAATCTTTTCAACAATTATAGTCATTTTATTCCTCAGTTTAGATGCTTCAGTGAATTTTTAGGGTAACATACAAATAATGAACACAGCTTTAAGGCACTTCAAGATCAGTTCCCAGTCTACTTTCCACCTTAAATCTGTGCTTGTTAATCGGGTCTCTAATTTTATTATAAAAATCATGAATATCTTGAAATGTACTAAAATATAACATAGTTCAGTACCCCCCTCCCAGATTCCATAGACACACTGCATTACTAAAAAAATATGGGCATCTTATTTATTTCCATCTTTTTTAATTGAGTCACGTTAGTTTCTAGGAGTCCAGCCTTGCTGAGGAAACTCTCTTTGGATCTGTTTGTCCTATAAATTGGAGCTTTAACAGTATTATGTCTATCATAAGACCATTGTAAAGACTGATTCAGAACATTCAAAGAACAGCAGTGTCTGGCACATAGTACACACTTATTAGCTGAGGCTATTACCACTTAGAACAATCAAACCTCTCTACTTTCAGGGACTTTGCACAGACTATAAGCACTGTTAATTTTACCCTTGTTATGTCAACCCATAATCAGTCAACAGTTCAGGGAAAAGTTCCCCAATATTACAGATTAAACTGTATTGTGTAGATATACTTTATGCTTTTCTTGCATCTTATTTGTAATGATTCCTTTGTGAGGTTGATATACTAGATGTCCCTCATATTATATTATAAAGAAACTCTACGAAAGAACATGGTATCTAGCTCCTTGTGTTAGACCCCCAACACTTAATATGAAGTAGCTATTCAAAACATTTAATATTATTTAAAGATCAATTTCATTTCACCTACTAAGTCCTATAACATGGTTAAACAACTTGCTTTCACTTACTTGGGAATAAAAATACAAGTACATTAAGTGAATAAAAAATACTTACTAGCTTTTAGTATACATTTGCAGGCTCTGCCAGAAGATAGTTTTTCTAGGTATAAAAGTTGTCTGTTGCAGCTTAATTCTAAAGTAGATTATGAAGTGAAAAGTTAGGGATGTATGAAGTAGCAATTAGTGATTCAGAAGTAAAGAAAAGCCTCCATATACTCTTTCAACTGAATTTCGTATTTTTATACATTTTATACCTGTGTATGACTTTAAGGGGGATAACTTTTGGTAACAAAATTAGTATCATCAATTTTCCCCAGAAGGACCTAATTGTACACAAGAATTTAGAACTGTAGCGTTTCCATTGCAAAGATGTTGTTTTCAAGTTCCCAAGTCATATACCCAACGTTTTTACACTTAAAAAATGTAAAAATATGATCATATACAACTTTCAAAACAAAATCTAGTAAGATTGACTTCAAAAATTTTCCAAATAGCTTACCCTTTCTTCCTATAAATGTGCAAGCCAGTCTGAAAAGAAAATAGCAATATTTTACAGCTTGTATTCCATCCTGTATTTTTCTCTGAATCATGCTGCACATGTACATAGTAATGGTACAAGCAACCTGCTTAATTCAGTTTATGTTTCCAAACACATTTGGCCAAAGAATTTCTAAACAGTCTTTAAAAGGAGAGCTTTCAAATATAATGGGAAAATCCTACTAAAATTTCTAGACTCTTATTCAAGATATAAAACAACTTTGATCACAGTAGTCACATACCTCCTGATAACCACTTCTTGTTAAGAGTTCACAAACCATTCAATTAATAATTCATTTTAGAAGCTTATCAATAGTTGATGCTTTATCTAGTAGTGTGAAGGATCTTTCTTTTGAAATTAAGACACCAGTCTAACTGGGAACAGAAGTCTTTAACTTAATAATTTTCCTTATAACTTCTCAAAGCAGTAACAACATTTTAGTAATTAACAAGAATGCAATGGGTGTAAGAGGGAGTGGGCATATAAAAGCATTTGAGGTAAGAAAATGCACAAAAGCCTCATTACCTTTGGCACCACTGACTTTTAAAAGCTAGCAAGGACACGTATTAATTCCCTCAAAATAGCAGCTTGTATTAGGAGTTGCATACCAAATTCAGAAAATTTAAAAAACACATGCAACCACTAGGGTTGATACCAAAGGTATTTTTAAATGCTCCCCGGTAATTTTGATGCACATTTTACAAATAAAATCTTTTGGGAGAATCTTCCTCACTATCACCATTTTCAATCAAGTTAAAATTAACTGTTGTAATAATGTTAATAAAAATCTCTAGGCTTTTAACATGTTCTAAAGTTTTAGGCCAGGAAGTTGACAGAGCATTTTTTTCTGAGTACTCTCTAAATAGTAGTTTAGGTCAATGTTTTTCAACAGGGAGCTATATGTCTCCCCACCCCCCCACCCCTCACCACCCTTCGGTGACACACCAGGATATACCAGTAGGTAACAGGTAATATAACGGGTAACACCAGGATACTAGGGAACCAACCAGAAGGAGGAGTCACGAAAAGGAAATAAGGTCAGGAGGAGGTCATGACCACAAAATGGTTGAGAAAAGGCTTAGGGTACTCTATCGTATTCTTTGATCTGACTTTATCAGAATTGAGGTGTTATGAACGACAGGGCAAATATCTCAAGACTAGGGGAGTGTATGCGTAAGGTCCCAATTTCCAGACACATGTGGCCCCAGAAAGGGCTGCTGGGTATAGTTCTGTCACTACCTCCAAGCACTGCTAAACCCAAACCCAGGTCCAAGCCAAGAATCCTAAGATCCACACTAGTGGGCAATCTGAGCATCTCTGAGGAGGTTCCCATCCCCACCCCCAGCAAAAAAAGATGGTGTCACAGGCAAGGAATCTACTACTGGTACACACCCCTGAAGAGAAAGACTTTTCTTCCCAAAGCGCAAATTTCTTCTAACCCATCAACCAATTTTCTCTGTAATTACATCTCAGTTTTAAATAGTTTTAAATAGCAGTTTTCCTGACCTTCTTCCAAAGTGTAGGATAATCTTAAATATACCGTAACATACAGCTTCAGTATTCTTTAGATTACTTTTCCTTAATACAATAATTTGGTCGCTGTGACTTTGTCTTATTAAATTTTTATATTCACTTATTATCTTTTTATATTCACTTGACTAAATAACCCATGGCGCCAATTGTACTATGTAATCTCTTACCTTTCCTTTTGTCTTCAAAGTGATCTTTAAAGCAACCTTGTTATTTCTATCCCTTCGAGACTTAAAGCACTACACTATCAGTTCATCTCAAGGGTTTTGTTTCCTTTAAGTCAACTGTTATATTCCAATAGCTTTGCTCTCCAACTCTTATATGTCAAAATATTCTTTATTATTGTCTGAGATGTTAATTGGACTTCTATAAATTAAATCATTTTTATATTAAACTTGAGTTGTCAGAAATCAGGGTTTTTTTTTGTTGTTCTTTTGTTTTGTTTTGGGGCCATGTCCAGCAGTGCTCATGGGACCACATGCATGGCCAGGGATCAAATTCAGTCAGCTCTTAAAGGCAAGTATCTTACCTGCCATACTATTTCTCTGGGCCACAAGAGTGAGTATTTTTTTAAAGAAAATAGTAAATTCACTTTCATGACTGAAATATAATTTAGACGATTATTTTGCCCCAGCAAATGTAACAACCCATATTTAATTGACTAACAGCTTATGCACAGATTACCATGCTTAGCTGAATTAGGTCTATGTGAACTTGGAATAATATTAAGTGTTCAGCTCTTTTAGAATTATCGAAGGGAAAAAAACCGAGCTAACTGCCACCTTTCTCTTAAACTACCCAGAGCTAAAAGGCATACAAGTTTTATAGCCGGTAATCTAAAACTCTTCTAAAAATGATCAACTGTTATTCTATCCAACAAGAAAACAAAGACAACAGCTCTATCTAATTAGTTAAGACACCAGATACTCATCATGCAGTTCCAGTGTCTAATAACAAACCTCTAAATTTAAAATTGTTTCACCACTCGTAAGAACTAATAACATTCACAAAACGCTGATAATCATTTTAAACTACATATGAGAAGCACTAGAGTACATGATTTTATCAGGTGAATGGGCATATACATTGGAGATTCTCAAATTTAGCTTCGGAAATAAACCTGGCAGTCTCTAAAGATTTTACGTATGTAAAATTTTTTTCTTCAAGTCATCAGCGTAACTTCTGAAAACTGGAACTGTACACATGGTCGGAGATTACAACCAAATAGCTGGATACCGTACCTCAAAAAGTTCACAGACATCTGTCAAAATTTGATTGACTTGAGTTGGCCTAAGGAATGGCATATTTTTATCTTATGAAAAATTTAATGAAATAAATTTAACCATTAGAATTTAAAATTTAAAAAGCATTTCAGAATTTTTCAGTACCTTTCATCAGTAAAACAGGACATTAAAAAATTAAATATGTGAATTTTACTTACTGCTACACTCCCCCGCCCCACATTTTTAGTCTTAGTTTGATCAGAACACCAAAACCATCTTTCCATATTCTGTGAATAATAAAATTAAATTCGTTTTCACATCTGAACTAATAGCAGTAGAGTATTCCCCAAAACAAAAAATGCAATCAGCACATAAGGGAGAGAGAGTAGGTGCTTGCCTTGCATGCAGCCAAGCCTGATTTGATCCCTGGTATACCATACAGTTCTGAACACTGAAAGGTGTAACCCTCTGATTACAGGGCCAGGAGTAGCCTCTGAGCATTGCCAGGTGCGGCTCAAAGCACAACCTACTCACATGCCCTCAAAAGTACTCAGAAACAAAATGCTAAGATAGTTCAAAGTAACAAATCTACAACTGATACCTAAACATTTCCCTAATGAGTGTCTCAAAAGTTATTTTTGGTTGTTGTTAACAAACCCTAGATCAACTCCCAACACAACTACGGATTCTGATCAAGTCAAGAAAAACAATATAAAAATGTTGGTGGCAATGCCACAGATGGCCAGATAAATTGCTGTTGATAAAATAAACTACCTTTTATTCTCAATTACTTTGTTAAATGTGCACTTAAATTCATTACTAAGCAAATGATAACTTATAAAATATATATTTCAAGTTTCAAAGTTAACTGGAAAGAAATGTATAACATTTCATTTGAAAAATAAGTTTCAACAGATATATGCGTGATCCCTACATGAGTCGTAAATCTGTCATCAAAACTATCACTTAAAGACTTTTTTACATGTAAAAATAATTTACACTGAAAATTCAAGCACAGTCTGAAATTTTATCAAAATAACAAGAAAACAAGCAATGAAAAAATAGCAAAAAACCATTACCAAAAATAGTAAATTTCCTATTTAAATTTCTGTGCTCACAGATTAAAAATTTTCACCATTTAATTATACCACACAGATTATAGTATACTTTTAAGATATAACATAGAAAGTTAACACGGGATATTTGGAGTTCAAGCTGCACTTACCAAAATAGTTTAAACCTGAGATTTTGATGTCTTCAGAAATGTAGTCAACAATAATGTTATAAATAAACATATTTGGTACTCTGATTCAGACTGTTTTTCTCTGAGTTGCTCATAATACTGCTTCTTCTTAGATAATTGTGTTGTAATGTTACACGTATTTATAAATTTGGGGGTTCTCTCAATATGAGGGAATGTAAAAATTTAATCTGAGCCATGTAAGCATATGAAGATGTCTTTCTCCTTTAAAATACTTCACATTTAATCTCATTTCATCACCAAGATTATCATCATTTATAGAACTGAATATTCCTATGAAATGTGCAACACAACCAACAGGGATTTGATACAGAAGTACTAAAGAATATCAATTAATCATTTCCTCCTATAAATATTTTCTTTTTATTTATTTTGTGTTTAGAGAGCAGTTTTAAGTACTATTAACAGAAAATACAAAACAAAAGCTTCCTAACAAGTGAAAAAAATAATTATAAATGCTGGAAAAATTGGCTTCATTAACATATTTACAAACTTTTACTTAATACATACTCCATTGAAAATTAATTATATGACATTTATACAAGCATTAACATTTCAAATCACTGAGAAGTGAGCATTTCAGTTCTCTACTGTCTATAACCAAATTGAAAGTCACAGTTTCTGAAGGCAATACTGACACGCATCAGAAATGGTCAATCCGAGATATTGTTGACACACTGGTCTGTTCTTTCACCTAAAGATGTTTCTGCTGAGGGAGTGTCCTTAGGTTTCTTCTTCTCTTTGCTCTGTTCTTCCTGCAGCTTCAGAATTATGTTTCGAATTTCTTCTCTTTTAGTTTTCATTCTTGGGGGAGGAAACCAGTTTGTCAAATTCATAGGTAGTTCAAAATTCAGGATTGGATTCTGAAAATAAAACATATTATACACAATCGAAAATTATAAATACGCTACTTTCAATTCCAAAAACATTCCCGAATTAAGAACACAAATCAGCTAACTCACTTAATGTCTCATTAGAACATAGCATATTAGCTTATTTACATCATCTGTGTATGCTTTCATGCTACAGTAACATGGGAAGCTTGTTGAAAGCTTTGCATGTGTAGGAGTCCTGAGGTCTGATAGCATTCAGGACCCTTCATGGCCTTCACTGACTTAGCACCCCTTGAACCCTCGAAATACTGTGGGTGTAGTCCTGGTGGCCAGTGAGTTCTACTGGGCCTAAGCAGCATCATACTGTTGGGCTAAGCACAGCCACGTTATTGTTCTGAGTTGACCCCAGATCCCTGTGAGCACTGATCGAGAGCTCCCACCCTTAAGGCTGCAAAGATTCAAATATTTGCTACCTAGTCTTTAATTTAAAGAAAATTGTTTTGGTGACCGAGGTTCTAAATAGGTAACCTAATCAATTGAAACAATGAATATACAAGCATGACATGAAAAGCAGAGTAGTGTATCTCAGGATATTTTAAAGACTGATAATAAAGTTAAGACCTGCAAACTCGTATGAATTTGCCAAATAAGGAATGAACGATAGAAATATCAAGGAAGGAAATTCTAGGTAAGAAAATATGAATCAAGGCACAGAACAAGAAAGAACAGGACAGGGCATGAGAAACTTTGTGACATTCAGGTGGCTAGTATACAAACTGCTAGAGTAAGAGACAGGAGATGAGGCTAAATGCTTGTATAAGAGTAGAGTCATGCAGAGACTGTGAAAGGTTTTGGTTTTTAATTCAACAGCAATAGGAAGTCACGGTAAGATTTAAAGCACAAAATAAAATCACATTTCAGTTTTCAAGAGAAGGCAGAGGAAGCGTAAAGATTGTTGCAGCAGTTTGAAACAATCTAGTGACAGATGTAGAAGCTGTGGAGATAGTCAAACAATGACATCATAAGAATTCAGCGACTCTGTGTTATACTGGATGGAGAAGTAATAGTCAATGAACAACTTTGTAATGGTCAATCTCAGGAATATTCAATAAAAACTTGTTTAAAAAAATAGCAGCCAAGATAACTATAAAGGAAATTCAAGTGGGAGTTATACGTGTTTTTGGACCTCTGAAGTCAAAGAGAGTGTTGAGGAAGGGATGATCAATATTATCAAATGACGCTAGTAAATTAGGAACCATCTGAATATAATAGTGAGAATGAAGCCAGATTATAGTTAAGAAAAACAGGTTTTTTGGAATTGAAGCAGTAAATAAAACAGAGAGTACATACAATAAGCAAACTGTTCTCATTTCAAATCATGAGGGAAATATCCTAAAAGACGAGGAGATGATATGAGAGGAAGAATTGATTAATGGTGAAGAAATGAGATCAACAAGCCTTAGATCTGATGAAGTATAGTCTTTTTATATCTTAAAATTTCTCCAATTTGGAAGATTTTTCTTCCTGGAATAATTTCCAAAATGGATGTTTGTGCACTCTTAGAAATATGCGTATGTTTGTATTTTTAAGTCAAATATTCATTCACTATTATACTAGATCATGTATTTTTAAGTCAAATATTCATTCACTATTAAACTAGATCAACAAACTGAAACCCACCTCAAAAAAGCTCTCTACATACTGCAACACGTAAACACCACAATCACTGAAGTTGTTCTGCTGGGGTACTTTTGGATTAGAGCCTTTCATAACATCTTTGGAAAAACTTCTTTTGCTTCCTTTTTTAACTTCCCATTCCACCTCCAAATACCTGCAATAATACGTGTATATTAAGAACATATATGTTTACATATACACATGCATAAGTAAATACACACAGTCCCTCATTCCACAAGATGACAAAAGTAGTCACTAAAGTGATAGCACAAGGGGCAGGGTACTTGCCTCGTATGCAGCCAACCTGGGCATTCCTCTGACATCCCATATAGTTCCCTCAAGCCCACCCAGGAACATAATTCGGAACAACCCCTGAGCACCACCCGGTGTGACCTCAAAACCAAAATATGAATATTGTAGAAAAGGAACAAGAAGACCAAGTACTAGGCATGATTTTTTACTTACTCTCTTAGGATTTTTACAACATTTGACCGAGAAGGGCCTCTGAGTGAATCCATTAGTAGGATACAAGGTCTGCAGGGTAGGAATGACCAAATGTTAGTACTTTGTAATGCTAAGGCGGCGTAAAAAGATGTGCGTTAACAGTAACATTTATGGGGCGGGCGAGGATGATAATATGGGCAAGGAGGCTCTTGCCTTGCATGGGATCTACACAGATTCACCTCTGGTACCAAGTATGGTTCCCCAAGCCTTCCCAGAGTGATTCCTGAATGCAGAGGTAGGAATAAACCCTAAGTACTAGCAGGTGTAGCCCAAAAATCAACCAATCAACCAACCAAAAAACCCATGGTCACATTTATACTCCCTACAAAATTCTTTTACCAATTAACATTTCTATCTGTGATAGATAGATGACTTCCCCATAATCACACAAAATAGAAAAGACTGCCAAGTTGTATACGTTATACAAATGTATTTAAGAAAGTCTGGCATATCAAGAGAATGAACTTTTTATTTCAGCATCCTCTGTATGTCTTAGTAAAGTCTTAAGGACACATAAGACACATAAGGACACACCCAATAATTCTTAATCCATGGTTAAATACAAAATTAAAATACATTCATTTAACCATAACCCAGCTATAAATGTATCATTAAAGCTCCACAGTTGGTTCCTAAACATACTTCAAAATTCAGAAAAAAGTCCAAGAAATTTCAAAGACTTGTACATCCTCATATTTCATAATACCAAAAGTAGAAAAAAATAGTCCTGCTTTACATATTTTAAACAACAATCAAAACATAAATGAATTCATTTTAAGTCCAGTGGAGCTTTTCTCCCAAATATCCCACTAGAGAAAGCCCAATCTAATACTCAACCTTCAAATACTGTGACAACACTAAAAGACTGGGAAAGTCTAATTTATTGCAAAGGACCTGGAAGATTTACTTTCCAGCGTCTCCTGTTTAAAATTTTAGGAGGATTTGAAATAGATCTCTTAAAACTATTCAAAGTCTCTAAATCTCCGCTTGTAAATGAAATGCACGACTCAGGGGACCAGAACATCAGTACAGCAGGCAGGGCACTTGCCTTGCATGTGGCCGACTAGGTTTGACCCCTGGCAACCTATACGTTCCCCAGGCCCTCCAGGAATGACCCCTGACCTCAGAGCCCGTCTATCCTGAGCACTGAGCAAAACCGGGTGTGGCCCAACAAGAAACAAAATAAATTTACTTTTCAGTTTGATATTTAGAGCCGAGGAGGTGTTTAAACCGTGATGCTCATGCTCTGTATCCATAGGACCTAGGCTTGATTCTCAACATATGAAATAAATAAAATGAACCAGAAGCGAAGTACTATTGCTACTACTTAGTTCCACTCTAATTTTCTACCAAAAAAGGGGCAAAAGAGATGAAGTCTGGAGTGAAAATAGATACTACTTGTTCATTTACGAAATCCAGAGCAAAGGTATCTTGGAATTCATACTTCAGTGAGCCGAACAGATTGTTATTTGCAGTTCCCATCTGGCCTGCTCCTGGGGACAGCCTCCGAGTCATTCTATAGCCTCTTATTATAGCTATCAAGAAGTCAAGGAATAGGGTTCTCTAAGGAGATGTGTTTGTACGTGATGCAAGTAACAGACAGAGGATTAAAAACGACTATTTTCTGCAACTTAATACATGGACAGTAGACAAACAATATTCCTTTCACGACAGTTTTTGTAACAAGAAGTCTTTTGATACGAAGAACTTGTTTAAACCAAACTTTCATGTTTAAATATTCTATGACAGTACTAAAACAAAAACATAGAGTTTACAAAGTAGTTAATACTTACTGTTTACAAATATTAGGCTTTAAGTGCCATTGTCCTATTTCTGAATTGCAGTTGTCATCGGCGAGGAATCCATCATCACTGCTATCATCCTATCAAAAACAACCTCCTGTCAGTACTGAAAATAACCCAAAATAAAACTACAAGGACAAAAATCTTTATAACAAATACATTAAAATTTTTTCGACTTAGACAATCATATACTAGAAAATCTATGTATCTCTTGATTCAAATTCAATAGAAGTCTCAATTATTAAAAACTTACATGTTCTCAATCTAGAATAAACGTAGCACTGTAGCACTGTCCTCCCATTGTTCATCGATTTGCTTGAGCGGGCACCAGTAACGTCTCCATTGTGAGACTTGTTACTGGGTTTGGCAAACTGAATATACCATGGGGAGCTTGCCAGGCTCTGCCAAGCAATCCTGCGTGGGCGGGATATCTTGGTAGCTTGCTGGACTCTCCAAGACGGATAGAGGAATCGAACACGGGTCGGCCGAGGGCAAGGGAAACGCCCTACCTGCTGTGCTCTTGCTCCAGCCCTAGTATAATCATTAATTCCTCTCTAGTAAAATACCACTATTCTTTATTTTATTGGGGGTAGACATCCAACAGTGCTCAGGGCTTACTCCCGGTTCTGTGTTTAGAAGTGACTCCTCATGGGGTCAGAGGAGCAGACAGGATCAAACCTGGGTTGGCCAAGGGCCAGGCAAAGTATTCTACCCAATGTACTATAGCTCCAGCCCCATGACTTTACTGGTGATTTTGTTTTTTTTTTTAAATTAGTTTGTTGGCTAGCACAACTGTTTTTAGGGGGTCTTTTGTTTGTTTTCGGGGTCATACCCAGTGGTGCCCAGGGCTCTCTGCTGAGGCAGTACTCCCCCAGGGCTTGATGAAGATGTACTTCTTATTCTTTACATAAGTAATTTTTTTCAAATCAGAAGGTTTTTATTTAGTTCATTTTTTCTTAGACATTAAGAAATTCCTTTGTTAGGTGACAGAAAATCATAGAAATATGTACCTTTTAGAACATTTTCTACCTATCATAGCTTTCTATTTCTTAGCTTAGCAACTTGCGCTTCCATTAACACTAATGGAAACAAAGCCCTGAAAGATAAATAATTCCTATTTTGCTGTAATTATTGTATAATAGTTCATCACTTTGGTTTCTAGCTTACAGAAAAATAATTTCACTGTGATTTTGAGTACGGCAGAGCCTGGCAAGCTACCCATGATATGTATTCGATATGCCAAACACAGTAACAACAAAAGTCTCCAATGGAGACGTTACTGGGCCCGCTCTAGCAAATCGATGAACAACGGGAGGACAGTGACAGTGACAGTGACTTTGAGTCTCCCAAATTTTAGGGCTGCCAATTTCAGTCATAGAGAGCCCGCCTGCTATGTCTGAGTCTCTGTGTTTAATCCAAGAAGAGCAAAAACACAAAACAAGCATCCAAAATGAAACCAATAGTTACATAAATGTGACTACTGGGCCAGAGAGATGGCTCAAAGGACTGGAGCACCTATTTTGAATGCAGAAGCATGCAAACCAGGTTTGATCCTCAGCTTTATATGGTCCCCTGTGAGAACTGCTGAGTGTGATCCAAAAACAGGAAAACAAACAAAAAAAAAACCATTATTTGTGAGTAAGGATGTAGCTCAACTAAGCTGATTACTTGCCTTGCAATTTTGAGGTCATGGGTTCAATCCCCCTCCATACACAAAAAAAGAACGTGCATTTCCATATTAAATCTCTCTGGAAGCGTAAGTGCTTTGTTAAACGTTCTACTAGATTCTCCTGAGATTTAGATATCTGTACCTCAGTTGTGTTGTGAAGAGCTAATGATGGATTGCAAATCAGAAATAGTTAAAGGATTTGGGGCCTGAGCATTTAGGATTCTTGTCTTAGATGAGGCAGACCCAGGTTATGGTTCCCCAGACCCTGCCATGAGTGGTGTAAAACAAACAAAAAACCCAAGAAAACAAAACAACCCCTCCAAAAACAAAACAAAAACTCAAAACACAAAAAAAGATATTTAAGCAATTTATTGGAAATAGTTTGACTACACCAAATATCCACTTCACTCGAGATAACTTACAATAACATTATGCCTTCTTTTTCTTTTCTTTTTGACCAGGGACACAGCTGAAAATGCTCAGGGGTTACTCCTGGCACTCAGAAATTAGTTCTGGCAGTGCTTGGGAGACCAATGCCTGGGATCGACCCAAGTGAGTTGCATTCAAGGAAAAAAACGTCCTACCTGCTAAACGTCCAGCCCCAATGAAATTATGTCTTATACTGCAGATAAACTTGGATGTAAAATAAACAAAGCTTTAAAATTTGTTCTTTAAGAAAAGAACAAATCCTATCTATGATATAATCAATAGAGGAGTATTCTAATAATAACAACACAGCTAAATTAGCTAGTTCATGCAACTATTATTCAAAGGAGCAAAGGAATAAGTACTCATTATACACTCTGAACGTAATCTATGTTTGGCTGTGTATGTTGATATCACACTCACAAACTTAAGGAGATCACAAAAAAAAAAAGAAGGGTTTTACTGTCAAATGGATTAATCAACAAGGAAGAAAGGTGCAATACAAACCTATCTTCACTACTAGATAAACTCAGTTTGTCTTAATAACAAGAAAGATCAGAGGATTAAATGGTTTGCTCAAGATTCTTATATTTTATAAAGACATTTTCCCCTCAATATGAAGTCCTCTTAAAGTGAAGTCATAAAATATTTTCAAAAATATTACTTCATTCTTGATGATAAGACTAAGTGAAACCCTTAAGAAATTAGAATTGTTATTATGTTAGTTTTATCTATATATTAAATATCCTTCCCTGATACAATACATTAAAGACAAAAACCCTGAACACTACATAATTTTTCCCACATCTTCCTTTGGAATATTAAATTAGACCAGAGGAATAGAAGGGATAGCTAGGTCAGGAAAATTCATTTTGTATGAATTAGTATAAAAGAGCATTTTATACTAAAACTTTCTAAGGTGGTTAATATTCCACAGTACCAAAAACAAACTAAAACAGAACTAAACATACTGGCAACTTGGGAACTGAAACTAAATTGATATTTTGAGGTAAGATATAAATCCACAAGACATAATAAATCACAAAAGAAGCTGCCTACAGGATTTTAGAGAAAAACTTTTGATTAAATAATACGTTTCACCTGATTATCTTGATCTTCTGAGAAGTCAATGTGTTCCTCTTCAAGCATTTTACTACCATCAGTTGATTCATCACTATAGTCTAGTCTGATTTTGCTTAAGCCATCTGTATCAGTAAGAAACATTAAGTAATATAGTATAGTAATATAGTATATGCATAATAGTGTGATATTAACATTAGTTTTAGCGACTAATAATAGTGGCTAAGGATACAAAATTCTAAGCATATACAAATAAAAACTAAACACAAATGAAATCAAAAATGCTTTTGAACAAATAAAATCACAAAACTAAAATAATCAAGTAAAAGTAGCAGTTATGAATGATTTCCCTAATTTTGTTCAGATTTTGTTCATAACTAGACGTATTTATAAAACAACACAAACCAAATGTTGGTGCTGATGGTATGAAAATAAGAAACATAAGAAAAGGGAGAAATGAGTATTTTGAAATGTTACAATATATAATGTCTAAATTCCTTAAGAATTATTTTACTGTTTGAATATTAAATGTAATCAAATATTGTGAACTACTTTATAAAAATAAAATTTCAAAAAAAAGAATTATTTTGCTAAAAGAAGCTAAGAAAACATCTAAAGAAACTTAAGATTCCCATGGAAAAAGAAAAGCTTTGCCGAGAAATTTTAATAACAACTTTACGGTTTATTATAGAGCGTGTCATATCCAATATTTGACATGTTTATAGACTAAAGTATTTTGAAGCCACTTTTTAAGAGTGGTTCCAAACTATTTCAGGCCAGTGATTTCCAACGTTTATATATCTATAGGTCATCAACAGTCCCTAGATCAGGGATTAAGACCCACTGTGGTAGACAGAGGGATAAATGTATTTTTGCATAAGTAAAAGAAATGAACACTACTTATATTTGCAAGACAAGAGAAAAAAAATGCTCTCTGAAATAGATATACATACATGAACATACACATACATACATACACATGATAAAAACGAAAATAAAGCACTAGTTAACACTTTTGTTACACAAATAATGGTAATTGCTGTTTATCTTTCAGAAAATTGTATTTTGTTCTGCTTGAAATAAAACTACCTTTTTGAATATAATTTGACCAAACTAAGGCAATTTAGAATTGGGTCATTAGAATCATTAGACCTTACTGTATTTTCAAATAATTCCTATCTATAGAATGTACCCAATATATTCTCCAAAAAGGCAGAAAGTAAATTAAGTCCTTCAATTACTCATTCAGTAAACAAAGGTCCATGTAATTTTAAAGGTTTAAAACTAAATCAGATATTTTCTTCATCAGTCCCAGTCCTGAAAGCTTTCAATGCCATGAAAAAGTCTAAAGATGCTTATGTGTGAATTTAGGTTTTAAATACACACATCTTCCTTGTACCAAAGTGAGGCAACTATTCCATATGGTGTCCAACTGAAAACACAGCAAATAAAGTAGTAATACTACACATTATTTTCTTACAGGTGATCTTAAGCCTAATCTCCGTGATAATACATAATTCCACATATTTGCTACAGCAAATTATCTGACATCAGTAGTGAAAACTTGTGTTGCACACGCAAAATTAGCTTTAAATGACTAAAATGCTTCATTTAAACCCTGTAAACTATATTCCTAGAACAAAGAGAAGTTAATTACTGGGATCATATCAAAATTTTTTTAGTCTTTTCCTAATTTTAATGTTATCATTTAGATAAGACAGGACATGTAACCATCTTCTCTGCAGCGAAAATATCTCCACAGAGTACTCTGATGTACTTGAAAACAAAAAGAATGGGATGTTCTGAAAAATCCCCATATCCTCTCAAAAGTAGCATTTTTCAAACTGTGTAACACTATCATCAGTTGATTTAAATATTTATTAGCACTATAGCACTGTTCTCCCATTATTCATCGATTTGCTCGAGTGGGCACCAGTAACATCTCACAAGTTGCGAGACTTGTTACTGTTTCTGGCATATCAAATACACCACAGGGAGCTTGCCAAGCTCTGCCATGTGGGTGAGATACTCTCGGCAGCTTGCTGGGCTCTCCGAGAGGAGCGGAGAAATCGAATCCGGGTTGGCCGCGTACAAGGCAAACGCCCTACCCGCTGTGCTATTGCTCCAGCCAAGAACAGAAAATAGTGTAATATGCACAATAAAGATAGAGTGGGGTTGGTTCCAGACCACTATAATTAAGCTAACAGATCAACAATGTGCATGATATGAATTTTTGCTTTCTAGTGCATTGAAGATTATGTCTATACTATACTGCAGCCTAAGGTGTATAAGCACCATGTCTAAAATGCGAACAAGCCATAATTGAAAAAAATTATTGCTAAAACTTCTAACAAATATTAAAGCTATGAGAAAAATGGAGGAAGTGGATTTGCTCAATGCTGGGTTGCACTAAAACTACTATTTGTAAAAAATACAAAATCTGTGAAGTGTACTAAAGTGAAGCACAATAAAATAAGGCATGCCAAAAAAGTTCCCTTAAGGAAGATACAATTGGTATAGATGAGACACACAATAAAACCAACAAAAAACAAGTGCACAAAGAAACAGATATGACAAACCACATGAAACATTATTTTTTTGGTTTCCACAATACTTGTGGGGATATTAAACTTGATTGGCTATCATTTGACTAGAATAGTAGGAATTTTGAATTTGTATATGAATCCCTAGGCTCCATTTCATTGCTTTGATTTAAATCACGCACTTTGATTCATTTTCAATTTGAATTCTCTTTAAGTTGTATGAAATCACAGACAAAAAAGAAACCTAAGAAATTCTATGGAGATAATAATTTACCTATTTGAAGCATACGATTCAGAGGTTCTTAGCATATTTACATATAAATACTACTATCACCAATGTCAAAGTGTCAACTTGAAATCAGTCCCCCAACTGCTTTTTTTCCTTTGTGTCACACCCTGCAATGCTCAGGGGTTACTCCAAGCTGCCTGCACTCAGGAATTACTCTTGGAGGTGTTCAGTGGACCATATGGGATGCTGGGAATCGAACATGGGTTGGCCACGTGCAAGGCAAACGCCCTACCAACTGTACTACTGCTCGGGCCCTGCTTTTAAGCCTTTTTAAAATGGAATGTTTGTGAACCATAGACTTATATCTTTATGCATCAGTTACACTTCAATACAGCTTAGAAGACTTCTTTAAAAGGGGAAAAAGAAACCTGACTACTGACTGGGGTGGGAGAAGTATCTCAGTGGTAGAGCACATGATTTGTACTTATGTGTTACTGGGTTTGATTCCAGGCACCAAAAATACGGATCCTGAATTCTTTCATTTATTTTCACTTCCCTTTGCATACATTCCTTGAACTTCATTCACCACCGTTCGCTCTAAGAAGACACTAGTTATTTCTCTTTAGGACATTTTCATACAAATGGAATCAGATACGTGTGGTTTTTCTGTGATTACTTTCACTTATGTTTCCAAGAATCATCAATACTGTGGTATGTAGAGGGTTTCTTTGTAAAGACAATAGTTTTTACATTCCTTTGGTGTATACAGCATATTTTGATTATTCATTTGTCAGTTAAACACGGAAATGAGTTGCTTTTATCTTTTGCTATTATGTATAATGCTGCTATAAATACTGACACTCCAGCTGCTCCTCCTGGTATCTTTCTAGGAGTGGAACTGCTAGGTCATAAGATAAAACTATGTTTAACTATGCTGCATTATCAAACTGTACCATTTTACGTTCCAACCAATTTCTCCATATCCGTGGTAGCACTTGCCAAGTTTTTGATTCAAGCCATGTTGATGTGATAGCTCACTGCTGTCTTATACTTCACTATTAATAATGTCCAGTATTTTTCACATGCTTTACTGATGGGACTTTGATTTAAAAAAATGAGAAATACACAATGATATGGAGATTTAAGTCAGCAGAGTCCCAGAAATGGTATTTAATCTAGAGAAATGGCTCTTCGCATTTTTTTACTCTCCCCTCCCCTGCTCAAGCTTTAAAATAATAAAACCAGGAGGGAAAAAAAATTAGACAGTGAGAAAAAGTTGCCTACTTTGACTACCTTTATTCCATCTTCTAGATAACTGGACTATAAACAGCAAAAAAGGTACTGTTTACTTGTGGTGTATTTATTTGTTCTTACTCTGAATCTCCTAGATCTCCTAATTTTCCCCACTACTGCTTCCTAAGGGGCACAAGAATCAATAATTCAGGTGAATTTCAGCTTTACGTAGCTTCATGTGGCAAATATTTTTAAAAGAGCTAAGCAGCAGTTTCTGATTAAAATAGAAGCTCGTGAAATTATCGAGTTACATTAAGTATTCGTAAGTTTTGGCAGGTTCTTTCTAAATTCACTATTTCGTATATTCCTTATATTGACTTCTTCCTCCAGATAAAATGTATTACACCTAATTGTAGTTATTTTAATAAATTTGGAGGTATACACTATCAATAAGCTATGGGTTTTATTGAGTATTTTACTCTAGGGTTGGAAAAAATACATGTACTTATTTGATATGACATTTAAGTATTTAAACAGAGACCTTAGATTTTTATTACAAGTGCTAGAAATATATAACTGATTCCAGAAGGGATAAATAACAATTTATTAGCATTGAAAAGAAATTAAAAAACAGTGATTGGATCAGGATGATCCACTTTCCTTTGAGAACAATGACGAATAAGGAACTAACCTTGAATCTGAATGTCAACAACTATTTTGGAGGAAAAAGCTTTAATTTCTGCCTCTGGCCACTTGATCTTTATTTGCCCATCTGTAAATTGAGAAGATTGAACTAATTCACCTTACAAGTCTAAGACTGCAACTACTGCTACGCTGAGTACAGTCATTTTCCTATGAAATAAAATAAACCAAAATTCTTATAAACAGAAAAAAATATATTTTTTACTGTAATTTTTTTAAAATGCCCTCTTTGCAGAGGTCAGGGGGGAAACTTATTGCAAAGGGGACACAGGGAATATTTTTTTGACTGATTAAAAAGTTCTAGGCCTTGCCTGCGGTAACGATGACATGAATGTATATATGGATCGAAGCTATTCTTGTAAAACAACGAAGTATATTTAAGTCGTACCTCAACCACCTGGCTTTTAAAAGATGAACTCTGAAATCTTAATCCTATTTAAACAAATCCAACTTACTCTGAATTCCTTGATTCTTTCAACACATTTAGAAACATACCTGTATGGTGCACAGAACTTAAATATTCGCTCTGTAGGCCATTCTCATTTTTAGTCCTATCAACAACTTTCTGGCATGCAGAGTCTCCTTTATTCGATTCTTCATTTTCACTGGCAGTATGATTTATTTTTTTCAGACTACATTTCACACTGCATATGTTTCTCCGATAACGAGAGTCACTTTCTTCCTGTTCAGCACTTGAGTCAATCACCGCTATGCAATGCTTTCTGCTTAACATCTTCTTAATTACAGGCTTGGTAGAAGAGTTTTGTGAGCAACTGTCCATGTCACTGGCTGAAGGAGAAGAAATACAACTGTCCTCTACAGCGGAACACTTTTGCATGACTGTATTTTCATGGTAATGAGGATTAGGCTCATACTTTGGTTTTTCCAAACCAGGGAAACAAACAACAGCCAAAAACCAGTGTGCACTGTAAAAAACAAATGAAACTACTGAATACGTTAGAAAAATGTATTATATTTGGCAATAGATTATCAGTTGAAATGTTTTCTGAGCTTCTGTGAACAAATTTAATAAAAATGCCCATTTTTCAGTTCTCAGATTAATCCATTTATTTATATGATCACTGATTCATTAACAGAATATAATGGCTACTCAAAAATAACATTGATTTCTGTCGTCATCACGTAGCCTATGTTCAATCTGCAAACAATCCTTTGCACCTTTTCCAGCATTTGAAAAATTTCTTATCTTTACAGACAGTTTAATAAAATGTAAATTACATCACTGTAATCCATCATTTTCATTCAATTTCTCATTGCAGTATTTATGTCAAAAGATAAAAAACTACCTAACCTCAGAATTAAAACGCCTCCTGAAGGCTAATTAGGTCATATAATTTTGAACACATTTTAAATATTGTAAATACACTGATACGTTTTTTACTTTGTTTTTCTTGTTAGTAAGATAGAAATCAAAGTTAAAATATTAAATAATCTTTTGTCTCATATTACAATGGAATGTTAAGTACACCAAAATGAAAAAATGTATATAGTCTAATTGTAACCACAAAATAAATAAAATTTTAGGTGGATACTCATGATAATAGTAGTGCAGTTCCCAACAGGAGAATATAAATCCGACAAAGAATTTTATTAAAGCCTTACTATTTGCAAGCTACAATGCTATGTGTAAGGCTATAAATGTAAAGAGAATTTACTAATTAAACAGAATTTTTCATACAGAAAGTGATCAAAATATAATTTCACATGAAAAATGAGTATCTTGACACAAAGAATATTTTATTCTCATTTATGCAAAATGTCGAATAACAAGAATACCAAGTTTAACAGTACTATCTCTTTGCTGAACAGCATAAGTAAAAAGTCACATAAGGTTGGCTTCACCCTTGGTACTATGAAAGCCAGATGGAGAACCATTTCTCTACTCTTGTATGGAATGTTTGACTTGGACGCCCCTGGTACTCCACAGTGACAGTGGACCATTTGATGCCAGGGATTTAATGTAGGCCTTTGCATGCCCAGCATGTACTCGAGACTGTTGCACTCTTCCTCCAGCCCTCCCTTCTTTCCTTATTAATCCTCAGTCATCTTAAAGACTTAGGTCACGTTAAGAGAGTAAACAGCAGCACATCAATTTCATCATTTCATCAACTCCGAGAGTCCACGCTGATTGTTGGTCACCTCAATTTTAGAAAGTTAAATGTCAATAGTATTTTAAAAATTATAAAATACAATGTAATATAGTGATTTTCAACCTACAACTATCAACCAACCCTAGTATCTTTACTGTGGGTCATTAAGTCCTGGAGGTCACAGAACTGAATATGGGGATCATTTTAAAATAAATTTACGATTAACAGTAATGATTTAATTTTTACTCTTATGCACTCAGGGTTGCATAAAAATTTCTCCCACAAATAGGGGATGTGACTTTAGAAATCCTGCATTTTAAGTTTTATTTTAAGCTGAGACAGTATAAAGTTACACTAATTTCATTCACCTAAAAAATTTTTTAGAGAATTTTTCATCAAGCTGAAAGAAGAAAACTGAATCAGATACATATATGTGATCACTTTAAACTTCTGACTAAACAGTAGTTATATTAAAAAGCAGTGGTGAAAAAGGCTAAAAAAAAACAAGTTAATTTGACTTAATATGAATTAGATTCACTGTCAAATTCCTGTCAACTCCTGAGACAATTTTTAACAAAAAGTTTTTAATTTTTACTAATTCGTTTTTGTGTTTTGAGTCACATCCAGCTGTGCTCAGGGCTATCAACTGGCTCTGTGTTTAGGAATCACCTGGGGATGCTTGAGATATCGTAGGTGATGCAGGAATCAAACCCACATGGCTGCATGCAAGACTTGTGTCTTACTACATAGTATCTATTTGCCCCACTTATAAACATTTAAGGGTTAAAAAAAAACCCCTAAAACCACTAGAAAAAACTTAAAAAAAAACAAACACACCGAAAAAGTATATGGCTACTTATCATTAAAAAAACATAGACCAGAAAATAGCTCAAGCACACTCTTGATCATGATCAATTGGGAAGCTAATCTTCCTTCTATGTCAGAACAACATTATGCCTCTTACAAAATACTTCCCTTACTCTACATATTCATTCCTCTTCCAACCATATCAAGATGGCTGGAACTAATAATAAGAGCTTCCGTCCACACGGGATCTCATGATAAAGAGGTATGTGAATCTGGTGCCACATGTTTTCCTAAAATTACATTTCCTTTTACAAACTTTTAATTTACCCATGTCAGCTTTCTGTAGAGCCCCCCCCTTCACCTACTATGCAGTTCACACGAGTTCGATGACAAACTAGTATCAAGAAACCTTATTTTCAAGAGGCAGAAAGGAACCCCCACCTAAGGGAGGAGGGATGTGGGGTGTGGCTGGTTTGAGTACGATACCCAGTGGTGCTCAGGGGTCAGTTCTGGCTCTGCACTCAGATCTTATTCCTGGCTGGCTCGGGGGACCTTATGGGGTGCCAGGGATTGAATCTGGATTGGCCACACGCAAGGCAAATATCCTTACCTGCTGTGCTGTACTACCACTCCGAAGGTGAGGTTTTAACCTTAGCGAAGCTTAAAGCTAGCTTCTCATGATAAAATACGTATTTTATTATATTTATATTTTATTATGAAGAATCTGTACTTATGTCCATAGCAATATTTTGGTCTAGCCTCCCTACCTTTTCGGCTAGGCAAATAGAGTATGCTATCTGTGACTAAAACATGGTTTTATATAGAATTTGTTTATATCATATGATTTTTTTTTTCAAAAAAGGGAATAAGCGGGGAAAAAGAGAAAAGAGTACATTTAGAAGATAATCTGGCAGAGCTAGGATTATACGACATACAATCTCACAAAATTATCAACCTCAGACAAGGTTACTCTACGATCGTGATAAAAAGAGACAAAGCAAGGCCGTTGTATAATTTGTCCAAGCAGAGACAAACATAAGGGCACAATGCAACCCACAAAATACCGAATAGCCCATTTGCTAAATGACTGCTATTTCTTAATGAAAGCAAAACCCTGCTCCCTTGAGTTCGTTCCCTAAATCACCAAACCAAAGCCCAAACTCAAGTTCTTTCAAACACTCACTTACTGAGATGCTTCATGGTGGGCCGTTAACTGTGTTTTCCCAAGATGTACTTAATAAACCTAGTTTGTTCAACTGCACTGCATGGGGGTGGGGGAGTAGGGGCAAGGGAAGAGGGAGAGAGTCTTATCTGGAGAGCAAGTAAAACACAGCAAAAGACAGATTCTTTAGCTGATGTGCTTAATGTAGTATATATGCCTATATACACGATGGTTTTAAACAAATCATTCGGATGTCTGCAACATATATAATGTTAGAATGCAATGTGACTTTAATTGAGGGGAGCAAAATCCCCTCAGTTTAACAGCATACTAATGGAGCTCTGCGCTTCAGCGTCTATCTAGACACTGGACGAAAGTAACACTAGAAAATAGCTCTAATTTTCACTAGAAACAAATGAGGCATAAATTCAGGTGTCTTTCTTTCTGATTAACAGCCAAAGCATGTTTTAAAATTAAAAACTCAAATTCGGTGTCCTAATCATCTTTCGATTAAAGTATACTTTTGAGGGGAGGGGTGTACACCCTGCAATGCTCAGGAGTTACTCCCGACTCCCCACTCAAGAATTACTCCAGGTAGTGATTGAGTGACTCCATGGAATGCTGGGGATTAAACTCCGGCATGTACCCTAGTCACTGTACTATCTCTCTGGCCCCCATTAGAGTATATTTTTTGCTACAGAACATTTGCTAGACAGTAAGCATTTTTTTCAAAAAAAAAAAAATGCCATTTCACACTGACCAATAAAACAAAAAGCATTAATCAGTTTATAAAATTTAATGTTTTCATGTATCTCAAAAGAAAATCGAGTTCTCATAAAATAAACAGTAATTATAAGTAAATGTAAAACACTTCAGAAAATAGTTTTGGAAGTGTATGTTCTTCACTTCTTGAGTACATGTTTGAAATACTGCTTCCACATTTAAAGATAATTTCTACTCACGCTTCATTGAGGGGTACAAAAATAAAATCCTTCTCGAAAATATCTACATGTCGTGTCCATGTTTTTACTCTCCCATGTCGCTTTTGCTGTATCCTGTAATACAAGCAACAAACCATCAAGTTTCTTCAATGTTTACAATTCAGTTTATATGTAGCAATGTTCAAACTAGAAGATTATTTGTTAACTCTCCACCCACCCCAAGCTTTGGGAACTGAATCCAGAGCCTCAGACATGAAAACCAGATGAACGTAATGAAAGATCAAACAGTTGAAATAAAGGATTGAGCTGTTTGGGGAAAGAAAACAACATCAACAGTGAAGCTGGAAAGATATGAAAATGCCCAGTACTAAATACAGAGGGCCGAAATATCGAGTTTTGGTTATTCACAAACTAGGGTGCAATAGATCTATTTTTAGCAATGCAGAAATAGTTCTAGCAACCACAATGAGAACAGACCATTAACTATGATAAATAAGATCAAGGAAAGCGAACATTGTTTACGTTGGATAAACTATGCACTGGTCAAAACCAGGAGCCAGTGATATTCCCACAGGGAGAGGAATTAAAATAAAAATCACTCAGGTCTAATATGTATAGCAGTATTTCCTTAACTTGTTGAAGAGTTACACAAAGAACACATTCAAAGTAAAGAATCAAAATTTTTATTATTGCGATTTTGTTTCGGGGCCACATCTGACAGTGACCGGGGCTTATTCCTGGCTCTGCACTTAGGGGTCACTCCTGTCAGGGCTCAGGAGACCAAATATGGTCCTGGGATCAAAAACAGATGTTATGTTAGTCACTTGCAAGGCCCTTACCTGCTGTACTTTCTGCCTAAGCTTCAGATAGTCTTAAATATGAATGGCAACATACAAGATAAACTGAGCGTCTTGATTTAAAAGTATCCATGTAATTTTTTTAACCATTAAAGAAATCAGATAAATACTCATTTAGATATTAGATCTACATTTTAATTCCAAGTATTTAAAAATCTTTAGATCATAAATTTTATAAAAACTGTATTGTCTTTATGCAAGTAGTGATTTTCACTACTCTTATGTGATTTAGTACAATCATCAATATTTTCAAAGGGCTTAACTTACGATAGATTAGTTGTTTCATGTACATTTCTTCTCTCTCTCTGATTAAGACGTTTATAGAAAAAGGAACTGAATATATGAATTCGGTCAGCTTCTTCTTTCTTCAGTTTTTCAAGCACTAAATATCTAGTAAGAAATTTTTAAGAGGTAAATTAAGTTGGTATTAAAGTGGAAGAGTGATGAGATCAATTCAATCAATATCCCTTAGCATGCAAACATTTTAAGTTTACTTCACATTCTAAACAATAACTGGTTATTCTCAAGTAATCAAGTGAGATATACAAGTAAAACTGACTTGAAAAGGTCTAACCTTTCAAAAAGTGAAGCATTATGAGTATTCAACTGCAAGTTTATTTATTAAAAATTTGTCATTATTGTGTGTGTGGTACAGAAGGTTAAATCCAAGACCTCATACAGTGAGGCATTTCTACCACTGAATCGCATGTCTGGGAATGACAAAATGCTGAAAAATTATCAATGAAAAAATAACGTGCTATATTCACACAAGAGATTATTCAGAAATGAAAAGAAATAACAGACACAAGCTAAAACACAGAACTTTAAAACATTAGGCTAAATAAAAGATCATCACAAAGGACCCCCACATTCTGTATATATGAAAAGTTTTGAAAATGAAACTCCAGATATAAGATTGTCATTATCATTTTGGTGACCTCTATCAATGTTGTTGAAAGCAAAACAACTGGTGGACGACCCAATATGTGAACCACTACCCATGTTAACAGACTGAAAGTAAGGAGCCAGTTATCATGTGATTCCTGGGATCCTTGTGACTTCTGGGGCCCTTGTGATTCCCAATGCTTTGGAGTGCTTGCTTTGAAAGCATTATATAATAACCTCATTATTACTGCCTCATTGACTGTGAGGATGGTTCCAATAGCCCTACCGTTTGTGTCTGGTAGTGTGCTATCTACGATCCCTGACACCAAGGACAATTTCTGATCACATTATAGCCAGATATGAGCATAAACTGCAACCTAAGGGGTGTGACTTACAGCAAACACTGCCAACTAAAAAATGAATATGCAAGCAGAATGAATCCCCCCGCCAGCAAGCACCACAACTGAGTGTATGAGCGTCATAAACTGAACCATCAACTCTTGGACACCTCAACAAATATGTGTTAAGCACCGGAACATGTGTGTTGTGGCCAATATTTAACGTAACAAGGGCAAAGGACAGTATTTTAAAAGTGAGAATTTATTCTTCATAAACAAGGGCCCTACCTGTCCCCATCTGGTAGCAAACCAGTGGCATCCCTGCAGTTATCCAGCACTTCACTGCCCCCACAGAGCATAGTAAAGTGTACAAGGAGATCCCACCTCCTTCTGTTTCCGTTATCCCTCTTCAAGCTAGTCTTGACTCCATGCCAATCCACAGGACTGAAGCTGTGGTTCCTTTCAGTCATGCCCAGGCAAGGGTCTTCCACTAGCTAGCCAGGTGTGCATGATGTAACCCTTAGCAATCTTCAGGCACTTGTGACTTTAAATTCCTTGACTGCCACCATGGCCAGCTTGGGGTCAGCATGAGAGCTGAGCTGTGACTGGAAATATTCCCCACCAGCTCCCACAGATGCGCAAAGCTGTTGGACTGCAACAGCACAGGTAGTGCCAGGAACTGGAGAACATGTCCCATGTTGCCAATGGGGCTCAGTCAATGTAAGCACCACAACTGGCGCCAGCCATTGGAGACTATGAAACCCTGATTGCTGCCAAGGTCTGGGTGATCATGATACCCCTGTAGGTGACAGGCACTTGACACTGCAAACCCATATTCTACGTCCAAGGCTTCTTGACCTTGATGCCATAGTCAATGCCACAAACATTTGCAGTAGTAAGAACCAGCTGATACCCAGGCCCAATCAACCTTGGTGCTACAGCTGATGCAAGACATTACTAGAGCAAACCTCCCCCCAACGCACACAAATCTGCTCAAACTGAACCAGTCACTGATCCAGCTCAAACTGAACCCGTCAAGCCATTGCCGGTCACGTAAGGACTTCGAACTCCTGGTCACCAGAAGACCAGCCTGCTCATACCTGGATCCAGGCTCTCACTGACCACATAATAAAGAAACAGGAACTTGAATCGATGGATTTGTAACTGTAAGGTCCCAAACTTATCTGTTCTACCATCACCCTCCTAGGGGGAAAATAAATGTCAATCATCTCTTGGAAATCTATCTTTTATAAGTAAACAGAATTTAGAAAAAAAAAAAAACAAACCCAAATCTACTAATGCTTAACAAATGCACCAGAGGTCACTAGCAACACCCCCGTTCCGGGTTAAACCAGTTCACTCCAGATAAGTAGCATGGTCCACTTAAGAGAAAAGAAGAAAGACTGATCTAGACAAAAGTCTGGTAAAAACTCCCATGGTAACAGAGCTATTTAAATCACTTGAAGACCAAAGCAACAATCCAAATGACGCTTACTATAATGTGGAAATCAATGGAAAATAACTCCTGCAAGGACCTGAACAAATCAGTATAAAGAAAATTCAAACAACTCAAAGTGAAAAACAGAGTCAGAAAGCTAAAAATTCTATAAAGGTGCTCAGCAGCTGAACGGCAGAAGCTGGAAATCAAATTAGTGAAACAGAACCAGGTTTCTTTTCGATTTTTCTTGGTTTTGAGGGCCACGCACAGCAGAGGTCTGGGCTTCCTCCTAGCTCTGTGCTCAGGGGTCACTTTCGAAGGAGCTTGGGTATTCACAGATGGTGCCAGCCATCAAACCTGGGTTGGCCTTGTGCGTGGCAAGCACCCTACGCAAAGAACTGTCACTACTGGTCCTGGGACAGAGCTTCTTAAACTTTTCTGTACTTCAGCTTTTGCCTGTGAAATGCAATACAGATAAGCACTGCCAGAAACATCTCGTATTCATCATGTACTCGATTCTGAATTACGTTTTGGTCATTGCACATACGGAAACCTCTTACTATTGCTAATTTTTCGTGACTCCCCCAGTCAGTTGAATAATCATGGGATCGTGACCCACAATTTAAGATACCTGGACACAGGATAGAAGGTACCAGAAACCGTAAGAAAGGCAATTTTTAATGATGTTAACATAAGAGAAAATGGCAAGGAAAAAAGGTAAAAAATAAATGGGATTATATCAACTAGATGCCTCTGCATAACAAAAAACTTCATTTACACAAAAATATATTCTATTAAATGAGAAAATATCTGCACACTATATATCTGAAAAAGCACTAGTATTTAAAAAAATATATAAAGAACTCATAAATCCAACAATAAAACTCTAATTAAAAAAAAGGCCAGTTAAACACTCCCCAAAGAAGACATACAGATGAACTTATTTAAAAAAAAAAAAGCTCATTATCACTGATTATCACAGAAAGGCAATAAAAATAAATTGTCATAAGAAATAAGAAATGAGTAGTGATACCTGGAGAATACAGAAAAATAAATTGTCATGCAATATTGGTAGGAAGGTTAATCGGTTCAGCCTCAATAGAAAATAGTACAGCAATCTCTTGAAATATTAAAAATTGGGCCTACCGTATCACCAGCAATTCCACTCCTAGGCACCTATCTACAAAACACAGAAACACTAATCTGAAAGGACATAGGCACACTCTATTCCCTGCCATGCTACTTTTAGCAACTGAAACACAAAAACAACTCAAATGACCGATGACAGAAGAACATGTAAAGAAGTGGTTTATACTCAGATGTAAAAAAAGATGAAGTTCTGTGTTCTGTGTTCTAATAATAATTATGCCAATAGAAGGGATACTAAACAAAAATCAAGAAGAAAAATAAAGCTTGGGGCCTGAGAGAGAGTAGAGCGGGTAGTGCCCTGTATCTGGCCACCCAGGTTCATTCACCCACATCCCATATGATTCCTTATGCCCCCGGGGAGTAAGTCCTGAGCAGAGCCTGGGGTTTAATGGACACCTGGGGACACCACTAGGTGTGGCCCCAAAACAAAAACAAAACAACAAGAAAAACAAAAAGACAAATCTTACCCTGAGATCCTCTCCTCAACAAAGCAATGGAAAAGACAACAGCAAAGGAAATCAAACCCTTGACCTAACTGCAAACTATCAAAGGGCTGAAAGAGACCAGAATATTAAAAGAGTGAGGGAGGAAAGAACTGAGAGATTAAACAGGGTTTGTTAAAAAGCATGCCTGGGTTCACATGCCTGACCCCAGTTAGAACACCGGAGACCATGCAGTTCTAACTCCGGTATCATTGCTGGCGGTAGCCATGGTGGATGCCCCAGGGAGGACACAAGGGTTTTAATGGACAGTGGTAGACAGTATAACTTGTGTTACATGCTAGATATGACAACATACATTTGGAAGTATAAAACTGTTTTGTTAAATTTCATCATCTTAAAAATCAAGCTTGCCTAATAAAAATTGACAACATAAGAATTTATATCTATTCTCCAATGTGAAACTGTAAGCTTTTCAACTGTGAATGGGTAAAAATAGAAAATCAATGTTTATATACAATGTTTATATACACTGCCACTTACACTGGTCATAGCAGGCAGTATAAAATGTTTTGTTTCCACTCCATAATTTAGGAATTACATGTGTTATATAAAAAGTAGCAGGTCACAAATGGACTATGTGTTAAACCGTGCCACCATGCCTGCCCAGAGGGGAAAGGGTGTTGACCCACTCGCCTGCTCCTCTCTGGAAAGAAAGATGGCGGTCGCACGGGAGCCTTGTGGACAGCAGGTTTGATCCGGGGGCGGGGGGCGGCAGGGGCCTCATGGGAAGGGGGGCATAATGGACCGTCCTCCACGCCCGACCGAGGTCGCCAGCTGCCCCCCACGAGCGGCTCTCCGGCACGGCCACGACTCCAGAGCACAGAAACCAATCTCTTAACTATCTAACTTTTAATAGAAATACTTCCAGGGTTAATAACTAAAACAGCAGAAATCCAAAACATCATTTTATTCTTAAACCAAGCTGTAGAAAGCAAATCATTTCACAACACTGTTTCAGCATATCTGATTGGGGCGGGGGCGGGGGGGGGGGGAGGGGAGGGGGGTGTCATAAACTCTAAACAATAATTGTGTATCTTCTATCGAAACAATGTATCTAGTCAAAGTAGATAGAGTATTAACTAGAACTCATCTGCCACACAGGAATTGGGAGGGGTGGGAGGTGGGGTTCTATTGGGGTTCACGGTTAAAAATAAGTATTGGTAAAGGGAAATGTGTTTGATACTTACATGACTGAGACCTAAACCCGAAAGCTCTGTAATTTTTCCCACAGTGATTCAATAAAGAAATAAATTATAAAAAAAAAAAAAAATAGCAGGTCCTTTACTGAAAACCACCAATCTTCATGCATAGTGAACATGTGTGTCAAAATGAATTTGTAAACTCAATACTACTTTTCTAATCAAAATATTTAACTTTTTAATGTTTTGTTCCTAAACTATAAATCATAACCATAAATCTAAAAAAAAATTAAAAACTAAAAATTAATGGACTATTCCAATAGTTAATTTCATATATTTTATATTTACATATATAACATTTTAAAATTACCAATTAGAAAACACAAAAATTTATTAAGGTGTAAACATTGCACAAACATTTATACGCATCTCTATTATTAATCAAGATATAATCTCTTTCAGGAAAGCTTATTATTCCTTTGTATTTTCCAATCCCAGAAGAGAATAAAGCATTCATTTTGTGTTTTGTCTGTGCCATGTTAAGGCTTCTTTCTCTTTGAACCCACTCCCGAACTTGTGTTGTCCGTAAGATCATGAATTTCTAAAATAGTGCTTGGCACTAAGTTGGTACCTGGTAACCTTTTACTGAATAGAACAAAATCATACACTTGGCTTGCTCAAAATATTATTTCCTAACTTAGAATAGTACTTTACAGACTTCACACATTATAACAACTATCATTTAATAATATTTTGCATGTGCCAAAAATTTTTCCTACCACTTGGTATCTAATATTCAATTCTCACAATCCCTTTTATATGATTATTGCCATTTTAAAAGTGAGGAATCATGGAAAGAGAGTAGTAAATTTTTCAGTGCTTCATACAAAATGGCAGTGCTAAAAGTCAAAATCAGTTTTGACACTAGGAAACCAAGATACATATTACATTGATAAGCATTTGCTTAAAGATTAGAAGAAAATTAACTTACTTCAAATAAAAGTCTATAATAACATCATTTAAAAATTCTCCCTCATTCAGACAGTGCAGGTCCTCATTAGTAACAGAGATGCCTCCCTTAGCTGGTGGTGCTGGATATACTATCAATCTGGAACAAAATGTAAAAATTAAGTAAACAAATTCATACTTAGGCATATAATTTAGTCGGACTAACACATGAAATTTAAAAGTGTCACAAACATAAAGGAATTGTCTCACTTTTCTACTGGGCCAATGAAGATGGTATGGTTCTCTCCAGTTTCTTCATCATCATCAAAAAACTGGAATTCTTGTTTATTCTTCATCTGTATTTTAGATTCAAGGGGCACCTGATAAAGGAAATTAACATAAATTTATAAACTGGGAATTGTGTATGTTTCTGTTTCAGGGACACACCCAGCAATGCTCGAGGCTTACTCCTGGCTCTATACTCAGGAATCACTCCTGGCAGGACTCAGGAACCATATATAGTGCTAGGATCATCACCTGGGTAAACCACATGCAGGGCAAGCACCCTCTTGTACTACTGCTCTGGTCCAGGAAATGTTTTGCACCCTTGTACCCTTAAGCATCCATGCCAGACTGAATCATCAGGTTCACACAGACAGGCCAGAATCAACAATACCCCATTTTTTGTTTTTAAAGAGCAAGAAGTCAAGACCGCGTCTCAATTAAAAAAAAAAAAGAAACAAAACAAGCCCCTCCCTACCCCCCCAATCATGTAACATGGACAATCATGGTTCAGAAGTGGTGCCTCTCTTGAAGGCATGAGATTTTGAGCTGGATCGCCAGCAAGTTCCACACGCCAAACACAATCCTAATGGCACCGTTTAAAATCCCTAATGTCATAATACTGTGCAGTCTCTAGTACAATGCAACCAAATGTTTGTATTGGCACAACACGAAGTGTGTGGACAGCTGAGAGTACCAGTATCAAAGATGGAAGCATCAATACCAAATATTACCAAGTCCTTGCAACAACAAAGAAGGCAAAGATAGGTATGCAAAAGCGACGGTCTTCCATTATCTTCTCTAACTGCCATATGTACAATAGCGTCTTTCTAGTACTAAATCTCTGCTACCCATATTAGAATAGAGGACCAGTAACTCCCAGGATCAGATACTGGAGCGTTTTTCTTCTAGTAGCAGAAGTCTCTCTAAATCAGTGGATACGAGAGGCTCAGGTAAGGTGTAATGAGCTTCAATTCTCCAAAATAAAGGGAACTTTAAGCAAGCGGATGCTGGCACCTACTCCTGGTAGATCACTCCAGGATGTGACTTAATTAACAAAAATCACATCACAGTTTCAATGTGATAAAGGAAAAGTCTAGTGAAACTTGAGTCCATCTATTCGACTCCAGTTAAAAGATCCACTGTTTGATCTTTTCCTGCTCTAGAGTCAGTTTTGGAAAAGAAGGTCTTGCTCAACTTAACCAAGACTGTGCCTTGTAACTCATTTTAAAACTGTCGCCAGGTTGAAATATGGTATATTTATATGGAAAACATTTAAACATTCCCAATAAATTAAGTTAGCAAAATTCGTTCGCTTTAGTAGGAATAAATTTAGAGTAAGTTATCTGTAACTAATATTGCAAGTTAAAATTACACCATGTTTACCACAGCACTTTGGCTTTGGCTCAGGCGACTCCAAAGTTATCTTGAATCCAGTGTTACAAGAATTGAACTCAAATGATCACCATCAAGATCAAAGGTGTAAGTTTTCAACAACACATATATAAATGTACAACACTATAAAGGACCCAGATACTATTATTTTTCCTTGAAGGGAAGCCTACCTAACAGCACTGAAGGGTCCAGGATCTACTTTCAGCTTTACAAAGTACACACCTGATAGATCAGTGCTTGGGCCAAGCAACGCACTTCAGTGCAGCTAGGGTCCAATGGCGCTGGGTGGGTGGGGGGTGGGGGGAGGAAGGGGTGAACACACCCACAGAGCTGAGTCACACTTGGTGGTAGTGGGTACATACAATACCAGGGATTAAATGCTGGGTTTCATTCCTGCCAAATACGTACTCCAGCCATCTAAGCTATCTCCCTAACCTCCTAAAGCTCATTATCTGTATTGGAGCCAAAGGCATCACTGACAAGCACTAGCAAATTTAAGAAGGAGGAACAATCTGTTTGAATGTAGTCATATAGGTACATGTACATTCAATGTTGGGGAAACAGAAAACAGGACGAAAGAAAAAGAAAAGCAGATGAGAAGTAAAGAGAAAAACGGAGTTTGGAAGGATCTTAAAAGGCTTCCAAGATTTTATAATCAAGTACTATTTGTCACAAGTCATTCACCTACCATTAATGTTTTGATACAAATTAGCTAAAAATATATATATGTATATATAAAATTATGAAATTAAATAAAAAAAGATTGAATTGAAGATGCTTCTAGACCCCACACCAGACTGCGTCATCGGGTGAATCCAGAACCCGCCCAAACAAGAGCACAGGCAGCTGAAAACTTCCACACTCCACAATCACTGCCATGATCACTGCCAGACTCCACTGTTTGGGACAAGCTGCATCCTGAAACTTATCTGTTGAAAAATTCAGGTATACAGGTTTTGTAACTGAAATCTCCATACTTACAGAGATAGGTTACCTCCCCCCATATCCCTGTACTTCTGGAAGCCTCAGCAATCATACCCAAGAACCACCTCTGGTCCCAAGTAAGCTAGTAACCAGCCATGATCCAGACACTCATAAATAAATCTCGAAAGAGATGAACAAGTTGCTGAGATGCTTCAGAACCTGAGCCAGGCTAAGTCATCTGGGGCACCTGGGGGTGGGAGGGCTGGCGGGGAGGGGAAGGGATGAGCCCACCACCCACCCACTCAAATAAAGCTCGAGCAGCCAAAAACCTCCACACTCACAATTACTGCCATGTTCAAGGCCAGACTTCATTGCTCTGAACAAGTCTCATGCAAAAATTAAACTGTTGAAAACTCAAGTATGTGGATTTTGTGACTGAAATCTCTAAACTTTCATGGAGTCAGGGATGGGCTACCTCCCCCCATCTCCATTTACTTCCAGAAGCTTTGGCAGTGATGCCCATGAACCACCTCTGACCCCAAGGAAGCTCATTAACTGGCCATCATCCAGAGACTTGTAAGATCTCAAAAGAGGTCAAGAAGTTGCAGAAATGCTTCCTGACTCAGGGCTAGGATAATCATTCGGAGCACCCAATGTCACCATCTAATTAAAAATTCAACTCCAGCTGTTACCACATTAAAAATTTTGGTCTTCCTGGAGTAACATCTCAAACTCTACATCAGTGATAAACCAGGAGTAGCATACCACATTGGATGAAATGTAAAGTAGAACCAACCAATCTTGACTGAGAAAATATAAACACACATGGCTTAACCTATAACAACATGTTAGTAATCTCTTTACACAAGGTCTTTCAGACTCCATGGTGAGACACAACAATCTTCCCAAACTATCAAGTTTTGATCATTATTTGTTAATTATTTATAGCAAGCAATATAAATTATTCAGGGTCTGCTATAAGGGAAGGCTTGAGATAGTTTGGGAAAATTGGAAATAATGGTAGAGAAAAGGTGCAATGGTGGTGATATTCGTGTTGGACTATTGACAAATCATCATAAAAAAACATGCAAACGAAAAAAGATTGAACTCTGAAATAAGCAACATAATGAAACAAATTTCCCTTTAAAACTGTTATTTTAATTATAACATTTAAAATAATAATTACATTTTTTATTTTGCTTTCTTTTTGCACACAAGTTCCTTTGATGCTTTCTTCATAAGTTTTTGTACAAGCAACAAGTCTGCTGTTGGCTTCTTCAAAGGGAATTTTTGCAAAAAAATTGGACACATTATTTTTTATACCAATGTCGTTAATGATATTTTCAAATATTGTGTTTGCCTGAGGATCGAGGCCATTTTGAAAAATTAAAATTATGTACTTTTCTTCCAAATCTGAAAAAAAAAACATAAATGTTAGACTCTTAAAACTTACGTAGATGTTAACAATAGTAACAGCTAACCAGTATCAGCATAAATCCTGGTATAAATGTTCAAAACAGCATTTGGCATACAATAAATACACAATAAATCCTAGAATAAAGAGCAGTGAAAGTGTTCTTTGAAAATTCACATAAGTTAAAGAAAAAGGAACCAGAATACATTACCTGAGCAGCAGCTCCGCAACAAATCTATATAACAAATCTACAGATGAATGGTGCTACTTACTTCATCTGATGGAATCTGAAGATGCTTAATTTTCAATATTTTCAATGAATATTTTCTTTGTCAAACATAAGTAAATGCCAAATGTAATAGTAGGAACACTAGAGATTTTACTGCAAAAACTATTACTAATGTGTCAAAATTTTTTTTTCCCTTTTTGGGTCACACCCAACGTTGCACAGGGCTTATTCCTGGGTCATGTACTCAGGAATTACTCCTGGTGGTGCTCGGGGGACCATATGGGATGCTGGAAATTGAACCCAGGCTGGCCAAGTGCAAGGCAAACGCCCTACCCGCTGTGCTATTGCTCCAGTCCTGTATCAATTCTTATTGCTTTAATAAAGCTATCACTTACTCATAATTAAGCTGAAACAGCAAAGATTGTTGAACAGTTTTAGGTTATAATCAGTCATGCTATGCCATAAAAGAGGTGATGAGGTACAAACTAGAGGACCACATCTATCTGTGGAAAGAGATGAGAACCCAGTCTATGAGCCTTCCTATTCCAAACATTTATGGACTCAAAATTTATATGGCTGGGGGCCAGAGCAATAGTACAGAGGGTAGGGCATTTGCCTTGAACGAAACTGACCCAGGTTCGATCAACAGCATGCCATATGGTGCCCCAAGCACTTCCAGGAGTAATTCCTGAGTGCAGAGACAGGAATAACAACCCCTGAGCATTGCTGGGTGTGACCTCAAAAGCAAAAAAAAAGACAAAAAAAAAAAAAACCCGCTTATAGGTGCATTAAGAAAATTCACTTTATTCAGAATAAACAATATTAATACAATCATCTTGAGTTTGAACATACTTTAAAAACTTTTTAAATGAGTTAACCTGGATTTACCTTCAGACCTATCATTTTCTGTGGCCTTATCTGTAAAATGGGGAATTTAGTACTTATCTTACAAAGTCACCTTAAGGATCCTAGATAATATACTCTATTCTAAGGCATATATCAACATACACATACATTCTTCTGTTCAATTAATTGTACTCTGGTCTACATAACTTACTTTTTAATTTATTTGTTCCTTTGCAATCATTCCAAACTTTATTCTCCGCATTCATTTGCAGCTGCATGCTCAGTTTTTCATAAACTGCTGGTACTGTCTGAAGAAACACTACTGGTAATTTTCGAACATTACACCATTCACATTTAGTTAAATCAGAGGTATATAAAGTAATCCCTACAGGATCATTTTCTGGTTCTGGAAAAAACAGGAAACAGAAAAGGAATCGATTCTTAAAGAAAGCAAACTAAGTGGGGAACACTGTAAGTAAATACTATTTCAAGTTAAACATATATTTACAATGCTCTCTGTGAACAGTGAGATTTTTCCCAAAGATAGAAAAATCTTTAAAAACATCTTAAATGAACTTCTACATTTTCTTTATGAATAAAAAGAGACTACAGTTGGGTGTTCTGACAATTACAAAATGAACTTATACCATCAAGATACATACACCCTTGTTTAATAGATATATGCTGCATTGATCTTTATAATTATCATTTAGCCATTTATCTCTATATGTACTTTAGTATAAACAATGCTTAGATAAAGACATTAAAATAGCTTACCTTCTAGCTGTATCTTGATAAAATCTAAACAAAGCTGAAAAGTATGATAAATTAGTACCAAGCATAGGTTCATAAAGACTGTGCTACAAATATTCTAAATGACATGTTTTCTGGGATCTAAACTATGGAGGGAGGAGAAACGGAACCATCTACAAAGTACTTAAACATAAAATGAGATCACGCCCCTTCTCATGGAGAAAGGCAGCTTTAGTAGCTGAAGGATGGTCCAACGGCTTAAGGTGCTGGCTTGCATGGCAAGCACAGGCTGTGAGATTCCCCCCTTGCCTGACCCTTGTGCCAAGGTGATCAAAACAGTCCCGAGATCAGGGACAGGTGATCAGGATTATGATCCCTTGGCAAAGGGGAGAGGGGGTATACACATACACACACACACATACACACACACACACGAGTTAAAAAGAAAGAAAAAGACTTCACATTGTCAAAAAGTTTACGAAATATTACAATGAGCATTTGAATACTCCTTACCTAGATTAATTAACTGTTAATATAACTAACTAACTGCACTCCAGACCAAAGTGTACATTCTTAAAGATATGAACTTACATAGATAGGCACATACTAGAAAAACCAAAGTGAAAACCTAGTTTAAGACATTAGCCAGGAAAAATACCCAATAGGCAAGCTAATCAACAACAGCTAACTTCAGGTAGTATAAAATAAAGTCCTATAAATCTACCAAAAATGGATAGAAAAATGCATGGCAAGAAAAAAAATGAATACTGTGAAAATGAGATTTTACTAAAAGTTCAAATCAAAAAGATTTGTGAGCCAGAGTGAATATTACAGGAGGTAGGCATTTGCCTTGCACTTGGTCAACCCAAGTTGGCAACTCGTACAGTTCCTCAAGCACTGCCAGGTGTAATTCCTGAGTACAGAGCCTGAGCATAGCCAGTGAGGCCCAAAAACCAGAGAGAGAGAGAGAGACAGAGAGACAGAGAGACAGAGAGACAGAGAGAGACAGACAGACAGACAGACAGAATGAGAGAACGAGGGGGGGAATATGAAGTGGACTTCGGCAGTAGAATGACAAGCAGACAGATATGACCAGTGCAATAAAGGAACTAAAGAAAGCGCTTTTGTCATTTAGTTACATAACCAATTCAAAAGCAGCACTTCTAGAGCAATCATTAATTAATGTCAATATTGTGTTATGGAGAGTCCTATTGTTTCAAGACATTTTTCGGCAGATTCCCCAACTATTGGACTACTTTATGCCTCATTACAGTTTAAATATTCTTTCTTGCAATAAGCTGGCATGAGAAAAAACATAAATATGCTGAAGGCATTATTAATTTACAAAGAGTAAGAAGTATCTTATAAAGAATGTCAATATCTTCAGCATAATTTTTTACTCATTAATTTTATGAGAAATTATTAATAGTTGCTTATACTCCTAATAGAAAACTCTGAAATAATTCTAATATTTTATTTCTTATTTTAATTTTAAAAATTAACAATATTACTATTAGCAATAGCAATTCTACTTTGAATCATGTAACTGGTATAGCAAAGGGCTAAAAAAATGTACTTACAATTACAGGCTCTATTAATAGCCTGAAAAGAGTTCCTACTCGTATACTTCGACAGTTCAAAATGACACTGCCAAATTTACTTTGGCAGCTTAAAGATACAGGATCAACTACAGGTTCTTGAGAAATCACTTTGCGACGTTTTAGAGGTGTGCTGATAACAGAATTACCAAACTGAAAAGGCAGAGAAAAAGTTTGACTTAGTAAGTTACTAAAGCAAGGGTGTAAACAAAACTACAAACTTGCAAGATCCAAAATAATAAAATGATCAAAACATAAAGTTAGTTTTAACAGTATAAAGTGACTTAAAAATATACTCAGTGCATACAACGATAAAAACTTTATAATCATATTACTCTAGTTATTTCTTTAATAAGTCAGGGATAGTACTCTGGGAATCAGACTACCTTGGTTCAAATCAGAGCTGTTATCACTTTTAATAATCTAACAAGGCTATATTAATAATCCCTTCAAGGTTTGGTTTTCAAAACTGTACAACTGAGTATCTACTATAAAAAGTTAATACAAATAACTAAATTTCATGTAAAGTATAATTGTGGATGAAAAGTGGTAATGGTGCAAGTTCTTGGATTAAATCATTTAAAAAAAGGTACAATAAGAGAATGGTTACTTATATCGTAAATCTTTTAGATTAAAAAAAATTAGGATCGGGAAAGATAATACAGCAGGTAAAATATTTGCCTTACACATGGCTGACTGGAGTTTGATCCCCAGCACTCACCAAGGGTGATCCCCGAGTGCAGAGCAAAGGATTAAACCCTGTGCACTGCCCTGTGCTCCTTCTACACCCCATTTTTTTTTTTTAAGAATCTGTCAGTTGTGAGGATCATGTCCAAAGCTGGGCCTATGTCAGGTTTTGCTGGAGTGAGGAGGAAGGGGGAGGATTGAAGAAATACAGTGTAAACTTTAGGCCTTACACATATGACTACCTCTACTTAAGCTACATTCCAGGTTACACACCTCTCTAAAAATTTTAACTTGCACTAAATTCAGATTTTAATCACTTCCAAAGAGCAACTTAATCACAGAATAAAATAATTTATATAAGCATTTAATTTCAATCGAAGTAATTAAAACTGTTGCTAAAAGCTTTATCATCACAAGAATAAAATTATCTTCACAGATAACAAGAGAAAAAAAAAATCATGCCATAGACTGTCCGTTATCCCTCGACAGACATTTTTGTAACTGTCAGTAAAAACAAAAATCTAAATAAAATATAATGTATACATATATATGTCCGTACACTGCTTTTAGATTTAACCAATCTTTTATTTATGAATAAAACCTACTAGAAGTTTTAAAACTTTCAAAATGTGGTATAAAGATAGTACAGATTTTAAAGCAACTGCCTCACACGTAGGCAATGCCAGATAGATCCCTGGCAACTCATATGGTCTGGACTTTCACACTGCCAGGATCTGTGAGCAATGAGACAGGGTAAACCCTGGACAGTATCAGGCATATGGTCCAAAAACAAACAACTTTTAAAAAAATTCTCAAAAAAAAAAACTTAGCATAGTAATCAAATAATTTAATGACAACTCCAACTAAATCCATAGTAGAAGAATTAAGCCTAGAAACTGGGTAGTCCTCTCAAAAATGCCTCTTAAATACTGTTGCAGAGTGCCTGTCTATCTGGAAACTGCTCGCCAACAAATTCTAACATATAAAAATAATTATTTAACTGAACATATCTATAACAGATGGGGGGCTGGAGGGATAGCACAGCGGTAGGGCGTTTGCCTTGCACACAGCTACAATGGCCGAATCGGGTTCAATTCCTCCGCCCCTCTCGGAGAGCCCGGCAAGCTACCGAGAGTATCTCGCCCACACGGCAGAGCCTTGGCAAGCCCCCCCCCCCCCCGTGATGTATGTATTCGATATGCCAAACACAGTAACAACAAAATCTCCAATGGAGACGTTACTGGGCCCGCTCGAGAAAACTGATGAACAATGGGAGGACAGTGATACAGTGACAGTGATCTATGACAGGTATCTTGAGCTCCTTTCTGACCATTCCCCATGATACACTAATCTCTAATGAGTACTTTTGCCATTAAATCTTAGAACGTTGTATTTACAATCAAATTATCCTCTAGCACAATTATAACAAATCAACACAAAAAGCATTCCATTCCTACAAACACTGATCAGGATAAAATACTTTTAATTTTTCAGCCATCTGATAGTTAACAGATGTGTTTTAATTTACAGATCAATATATTTCTATGGGGGGGGGGGGAACGCCACACACCTAAAACCTGCAGGAATCAGAGGGGCCACAGGAGAGTCCAGGAAGTACTAAGCCCAGATGATGTAACCCTCGGGGTGAGTGAATGGCACTGGCTCACGTTCAGCAGTATGGGGTTACTTAGTAAGTAGCCAGTTAACCACTCTTGCTGGAAACTAAACCCAGGTTCTCATGTATGAAAGATACACACTGCAGGTGCGAATTACTGCCCCAACCCTACCTCAATACCTTTCAGATACTCCCACTTTATTTTTTTCTAAGGTTGGCATTAATTTCTTGGCTTTTAATTAAAATACTGATAGAAGAAAAACTCTGTCACGCAATTTATTTTCCCTATTTTGCATTTACCCATATTTTACTCACAATATACTTAACCCAATACATGAATCTGCTTATTTCCAATTTCTGTGCTAAAATGCCTGGGAAAACATCTTCAACATCGTACTAAATATACAATTCAAGGTCACAGGGAGAGCTCAGAACTCAGAAATTCATCCATGTGGCAAGGACTCCAGTTTTATCTACTGCACTGGATGCCTCTCCACCCCGGAGACCTGCAGGTAGCACTGGTAGTCCCAAGCAGTGGTGTGGTGTCGGACCTTACAAATGAACCATACATCGCTGAGTATCACCAAAGGCAGCCTCCAGGGACCCTCAGTACTTTCTGGGAAGCCCAAGACAACGTAAACTTTAAATATTCATTCAAATAAATCTTACAGCATTTTTTTGATTTTCATTTCCCCATCTCAAAATATATATGCATATTTCCATATTTTATAACAAAACATGTATACATTCTATTATAAAAATGGGTACTACTAAGAATTAAACCTGGGACGCACACATATAAGGTACTACTGCGATGATAAGGTATGATTATTTTTTTTTTTAAAGTTCTTTTTCCAGGAGCCGGAGCAATAGCACAGCGAGTAGGGCGTTTGCCTTGCACACAGCCAACCTGGTTCGATCTCTGGCATTCCATATGGTTCCCGAAGCACCACCGGGTGTGACCAGGTGTGAGTAATTCCTGAGTGCAGAGCCAGGAGTGCCCCCTGAGCATCGCCGGGTGTGACCCCCAAAAGAAGCAAAAAGAAAAAAAAAGTTCTTTTTACAGGCCCAAGAGAGCATGGTTTGGTGGGCGCTTGTCTTGCACACAGTGACCCCAGATTTAATCCCTGGCACCACATATGACCCATGAACCCTGTCAGGAGTGATCCCTGGGCACGGAGCAGTAGTAAGCCTTGAGTATAGCGGAGTGTGGCTCAAAAAACAAAGAAGAAATTAAAAAAATAAAACAAAAAGTCCTTTTAACAAAAGTAAATACTCAATTCTATTGGCCAATACTGCCACAAAATAGCACTGTTAAAATATCTGAAATTCTTCATAAAAAGCCCTAGAATTTAGTCTGGCCTGCAGGAAAAATCTATGGTACTGACACACCACAATTTCTTCAGCCATTTCCACATTAATGGGCAACGACTTTGTTTACAGTTGATTGTCAATAGTCATAGTCATACATACTGGATTTTTCGTGTGTTTTTTGGGCAATGCTAAGAATTAAACTTGGGCCTCACACATAAAAGGCAAGTGCTCTAACACTGGCCCACATCACCCGCATGACACATTTTTATATGTATAAAGCTTATAAATATTGCAAAGGGGAAGATTCCTTTAGGAAATGAAATCTTTGGTCATCTGATATATACATTTAAAGAAGTTGGTCATAATAATAAGCTACTATTTTCTAACAGCAAATAAGCAAAGTACTCCTCTTAGCGGGCTGGAGGGACAGCATAGCGGGTAGGGCGTTTACCTTGCATGCAGTCGACCGGGGTTTGATTCCTCCGCCCCTCTTGGAGAGCCCGGCAAGCTACCGAGAGTATCTCAGCCACACAGCAAAGCCTGTCAAGCTACCTGCGACGGATTTGATATGCCAAATACAGTAGCAAGTCTCACAGGTTGTTGTGAGACGTTATTGGTGCCCGCTCCAGCAAATCGATGAACAACGGGTGGACAGTGCTACAGTGCAGGGCTACTTCTCTTAGCACCTTGCCAGTGGTCAAATCAAATGATTTGGTATACACTGTCTGTTAGTATTCAATTAATTTTTATTTAATTTGCACTTCTCATTTGGTTATCTGAATCTTGTCTATTCGTATTCTCTGTTCCAAATTTTTAGAGATCTTAGTCCTAAGACAGTCCTCCATATCATACAATATTCCTCTCCATATCTATTGTGTACTGACATGCTATGGCCATATAAAAACTTATCCTGTGAACACTTGGAAGTTTCCATGTACTGAAATATAAAACGGAAATATAAAACATGTGATAGTAAAATGCACCCAAGGTGATTTCTCCTTGTCCTTAGATTATGCAAGTACACGTAAAAGCTTGCACAGTTTTGCTCGAGGTTGCTTCTTCAACTTTTTGGGGGATACTTTCAACAATTATTAATCAAAATTTCTTTCTGTATGTGAAATATATTAGAGTGACTCCCAGAAATGAAGCTGTCCACCCGGGGCAAAGTTAAGAGGGGGCTCTAGGCCCGACTAAAGGGTTGTGCTGTGCCACGATTCCTCCAGGCAGGGGAATCAAGAAGAAGGGACATCATCGCCGTACCTAGCACTGCTAGGAAGTCATTCGGTGCCAGAAATCACATTCAGGTCACTGTATATGCCAGGCATGTATTCGAACTACTTGAGCAGACAGTTCTCCCTGACCTTATGTTTTGAAAAAAAGAAGTACACACATACATGTTAAAAGGGAAATCCAGTATTCTATATGTATTCTCTCCCAAGGACACAAAAAATTGTTTTATTATAAAACTTATATGAACAATTAGATTGTATGTGTTCATACAGTCTGTTCACTATATACATAGCATATACAGCGCTGTTTTTATGCCCGATTTGATAATTATTTTCTCAAATTGACAACTGCCACATTACCCTCCCAAATAAAATTACATACCAGATGGGAGACTTTATCTGAATAAATGTGAAAGGTACCTGGTCTTTCATTCTTGCTTTTCTTGGCAATGTCACTGTACTTAATTCTGAATCTGTTGGAAAACTTCTTACTTCATGCTCTGCTCTACAGGTGTTTTCGTTCAGTGCTGCTTCTACTTTTCCAGTGGACGGTGCTGGAGAAGAACACGCTGAATCGGCAGGTTGAGGAGATATGCTCTCTCTTCGGTTATTCCTGTCATTGTCATCATCGTCATCACTGGACAAAATAACTACAAAGAAAAGGTTAAATACTTAAGGTTTTTCACTTCCGTCAGTTGATAATGTTGATGACCAATCTGCCTCAGATCTCATCCAGATCTGAAATGAAAAGTGAACAGACTACATGGACATATATAATCTAACTGTTTACATGAAAACGATACTTTGTATCTGATGGTGAGTTAAATTTGGAAAATTAAAAATAAAGAATTTTTAACATAATATACAACATGAAACTGAATTTAGAGACCATTACTACTTATCACCCACAGAAACATACTCAAGTTACAGCAAGAATTAAGTATCTGCATGCCTGGTTCAGACAGAGCTCAAGAAAATTAAAAGTACCTAGATAATAGATGATAATAGATACAAATTATTTATAAAATAGCAGACATTTTAAGCATCCCTGAAACTCCATGTAGCCAAATAACTTAATTCATATAAAAATAACTGAAATTCCTAATTGTTCCCCAGGAAAAGTTAGTCTTATATTTACTTCTGATATCTTGTACTCACTCAGTGAATTTTATAAAACGTTGTTATAACATAATTCCCTAAAGTTAGCCACACTGTAATTGAGTCAAATGCTACCTTGTATTCGACTGGGCTGGAGAGACAGCACAGTGTGTAGGGCATCTGCCTTACACACTGCCAGCCGGGCATACCCGGGTTCGCTTCCTCCACCACTCTAGGAGAGCCCAGCAAACTACCGAAGAGTATCTCACCCGCATGGCAAAGTCTGGCAAGCTCCCTGTGACGTATTCAATATGCCAAAAACAGTAACAAGTCTCACAATTAAGACATTACTGGGCTGCTGGAGCAGATTGATGAACGGGAGGACAGTGCTACAGTGCTACTACCTTGTAATCTGGTTTATAAATGTACATAATCTTACACTAGTATTTGACAACTTTCTCACACTTCTACCATGCTCCAGGCAAAGACAAGCAGTCTAGTCTAGATTACAATTTCCTGAACACTTTGCATTTTGTCATGTAATATTAGCTTAAATATCACCTCTTGATAATGTAACCAAGAAAGCATACAGGCATAAGCTTGATTAAGCTTCTTGCTTTTTAATATGGGATACTTATCTGTTTTTTTCTCATTTATGAAAACTTTAAGAGAGCAGAAATGTTGACTTGTTAAGGAATCCCCTGAATTTAACAGTATTTGCATAGAAAAAAATTAAAACATGCATTAGAGAGTATATAGATTTATAGGAAAAATTTCTTTTGTAGTCTATCATATGAGCTGGAGCGATAGCTAAGTGGGTAGGGCGTTTGCCTTGCATGCGGCCAACCCGGGTTCAATTACTCCACCCCTCTTGGAGAGCCTGGCAAGCTACCCATGACGTATTTAATATGCCAAAAAGAGTAACAAGTCTCACAATGGAGATATTACTGGTGCCGGCTCAAGCAAATCGATGAACAATGGGATGATAGTGCTACAGTATATCACATATAAAATTTTTTTGAGAAATATTCATGTCCCACGTATTTGAAAATTGGAGTTTGGCTAATCATTAACACCTACACGAAATTCTCCTCTATCAGAAACTGTGACTATCGACAACTTACTTGAAAGACTCATACAAATAATATATAAAATGTTTATTAATTAGCTCATTTTCTAATAATAAACTTTCCAGTGTCTCTAAACTAGCTGTTATTTAAGAAAAAAAGTGTGTATATATATATATATATATACATATAAAGAGAAGTCAAGTATTCTATATGTATTCTCCAAGGACAACAAAATTTACTTTATAGGTTTTATTATAAAACTTATTTTATACATAACAAAACATTATAAAGTGCCAATACTATAAAGGGTAGAATTCTATTATATGTAGCCATTATTGAGTATCATAAAATTAATGAACTCAACGTAAACTTAATTGTAAAGCAAATGAGGGCAGTTATGTACTTAAGAAACCATTATCATAGGAGCTGGACAGAGAGTACAAGATATAAGGCACTTGCCCTGCACACAGCTGACCTGGGGTCGAGCCCCAGCATGCCATATGGTCCTGTGAACACCAGTGGGATTAATTCCCAAGTGCAGAGTCAGGAGTAATCCTTAAGCATCACCAGGTGTGGCAGCCAAACAAAACAACTCCATTATCATAGGAGCATTAATTCTACATGAAACAATATATCTCATATAAATATATTGAAGTCGGGGTGTAATGCAATGAATTGGGTCCCCTCAAAAGTCATATGTTAAAGTCCTTCATCCCCAGGTCCTTAGTGTAACATTTCAAGCAACAATGATTAATCTGACAGGAATAGTGTCCCCCAAAGTAGTGAATTCTCTCTCCCCTTGCCTGCCCTATCCATAAACAAGAGAATGATCATTATGAGGCAGTCATCTGGAAGCCAGAAAAGAGAAAATTCCTTACATGTCCACTCTGATGGCACCTTGAACTTAGACTTCTAGTCCTAAGATTGTAAGAAAATAAATTCTGTTGCTCAAGTCACTCAGTCTGGGGTACTGAGCAGAATACAAGGCTTTGTTCTTATATTCCAACAAAGGTGCACAACTCTTTGTAACATACTAGCACCCTTCTTCATCCAAACAAGTGACAAATTATCACCCTACTCCAGAAACCTGCACTTCAATTGTCTTTTTTTATTTATTTTTAAAATTTTTATTAGTGAAACACCATGAGGTACAGCTGTAGACTTACAATTTTTTTGTGCTTGTGTTTCAGTTATACAGTGATCGAGTACCCATCCCTCCACCAGTGCCCATTTTCCACTACCATGGATCCCAGTATCTCTCCCACCCTTCATCTCCTGGTCCCACCCTGCCTCTGTGGCAGGGCATTTCCTTTTGTTCTCTCTCTCCTTTTGGGTGCTGTGGTTTGCAAAAGAGGCATTGAGTGGCAATCCTGTTCGGTCTATAGTCTACTTTCAGCATGCATCTCCCATCCTGGGAGGATCCTCCCAACACCCTTTATTTGGTGCTCCCTTCTCTATCTGAGCTGCCTTTTCCCCTAGCAGGTGCGGCTGGCCTCCAAGCCATGGAGTGAACCTCCTGTTACTTATCTCAGCTATTCTTGGGTGTTAGTCTCCTATTTTGTTACTTTATGTTCCACAGATGAATGCAGTCTTTATATGTCTGTTCCTTTCTTTCTGACTCATTTCGCTTAGCACGATACTTTCCATGTTGTACCACTTGTATGTAAGTTTCATGACTTCATCTTTTCTAACAGCTACATGGTACTCTATAGTATAGATGTACCAAAGTTTCTTAAATCAGCTATCTGTTCTCGGGCACTCAGGTTTTTTTCCCGATTCTAGCTATTGTAAACAGTGCTGCAATAAAAAAACAAGCTGCGCTTCAATTTTCTATTATAGAATGACCACGTGGGATACTATACACATTTTATCATTTGGTCATCTACAATAAAATCAAAACAAAAACTACATTAATAATAATACAAATTAAAGAATAATTAAATCAAGAAAAAGACAGGAAAACCAGAAAAATCTTTGAAAAATCTAAGTTCCAATAAGTTCATATGATACTGAGAAGTTACATATCTCAAGTATCAGTTACCTAATTTATAAAACAGGGTATGTTAACTCTTACAATTGAAAACTAAATGAACATAGTGTATAAGCATCTACCACAAAGCAAGGCCAGAAATACGTGATCACTAATAAAGTTAGTGCTTATAAAATTAGTTCTTACCAACTTCTAGTTTCCCTCATCCCAGAGACCTCCATGATATGAAACTCAACAATCACTTCCAGTAACTGCCTAATAACTGAATAAATAATTGAGTTTTTTCCATGTTACCACTGAAGTATCCATTAAGTTATCCATTAAGTCCAGAAAAGCAGCCATTAAGAAAGATTCAAATGTTGGGGCCTGAGTGATAGACAGTGCAGCAAGTAGAGTGTTTGCCTTGCACACAGCCAACCCGGGTTCGATTCCCTGGGACTCCGTATAGTGCCCCAAGCACCGCCAGGAGTAACTCCTGAGTGCAAAGCCAGGAGGAATGCCTGAGCACTGCCAGTCGTAACCCAAAAAAGAAAAGAAAGATCCTTATGCTATTAAAGTATCTCTGTGTTAAAACACTAAAAGGTATTAAAAATTTATCAAGTATCAGTATCTTAAGAGAATACTGGTGAGAGAGGTATTAGCTGGTACCATTTTTTAATGAGCTTTTGAAAAATAAGCTAATGTACTGCTATGGAGTAATACTTTTAGTGATTTTAATCAAAAGAAAAAAATGTTACTAACACCCCTTAACTGTGTCCCCCTGTTTATCAGTTTGTAGAGGAACAATTTGAAAACTGCAAAATCAAGCAATGGTGATATTTTTCTTTATGGAGCTTCTAAAATTCTAAGTGATTTTATTTTAGTATATTTAAATAAATACTATTTTTACGTCCTTTCGTGATTCAACTTACAATACTTACTTGCCAGCAAAACATTTTATTTTAGGTCGCAAGTCCTTCTGACATGTCCACAGTGGTTTTTGACTGCTCCCATACTCCCTGATAGAACTAACGGTTATCTTTTTATAGTCATGCTCCAGACTAGGAGTCAGTAATTTCTCAGAGGATCTCTATTACTCAATGGGAAATTCTATTAAAATGAGTAGAATTTTAATAAGACAGTCCTGAAGTTAATGCACAAATGCACCTGACTAGGGTTTTACTCCCAGCACCACGTGGTTCCCCAACCACTACCGGGTTGACACAGAAGGCCTCCAAACACTGCACGCCATGACCACTGCTTCCTCATGACCAAGAACTGAAACTGACTGGTGAGTATCCCAGAAATAACCCTGATCTCCAGAGAGCACATCTTGGACTGCCGCGCCTCCCCAAAAAGACAAATATAGGAGCTAGACATTATTTCTATTCTAGGTTTGCCTGTAGTTTCTAAGCCATGTTCACGAGCAAAAGTTAGAAAACCTTTTCTATTTAAGATAAAAAACAATATCAGAGTTCATAGTTTTATCTTCAATTTAAATGTAAATTTGAAGATCTTATTTCCTTTTATTTTATTTTCATATTTCTATTCTCTTTCACAAGAGTCTCACTTTATGGAACGAAAACTACGAATTTACAGCCCTATGATTATCTTCAGTTCATCTGAAATTAGTGTGTATAAGTCACCAACTAGATACAGCTAGGTTCACTTGTTTAACTTTGGTTATATTTTTTAACATTTTTTATTTAATTATGCTTTCTATTCACTTAAAAAACAATTATATAACTCCACTGTCGAATCTACATAGCAAACACATTTGGAGAAGTGCAGCAACTACTGCTAACTTCTATGTGGTTCCTTCCACTTCCATGTGACAATTTTTAATGTTTTAATTTTATTTATTTTTTTCTTGGAATTTGGGTGACACTTGGCAGTGCCCAGATTTTACAACAGACTGGGAAATCAAACTGGCAACGCAAGCCTTGTACTGTATCTCCAGCCCTAACAACCTTTTCAATTTAACTTTTGGTACATTTTCTATTTATTTAAAACAAACCAAAATACTATCCCATAATCCCCCTTCCTAGAAGTAGCCTACTATATACACTTTGCACCATTTTTATTCTACATATTATTGAATCTCATCGTTCTCCCTTTTTACTGCTACACACACCATGACTTTAGTTAGAATTAGACCTTGAATGTAACAAAGAGCAAGAGATCGGCTATAAAGAGTACCGTATACAAAGAGTACCCCACATACAGGTGTAAAGAGAGGAAAAGATTTAGTAGAGGAATTCAATTTCCACTGAATACTTTGTATGTAAACCTTTAGAGTATGCCAGACATTGTGTTAACTTACTTCCTCAGAAACAGTTCTTTGCTATTTAGAAACATTTAGAAAATAGGAAAAGTAACCCCCTTAAAGTCATAAAGATGAGAATATCTGCCTTGAAAATTTTTTTTTTCCTGTACTGTTATTGTGGGCCGGAGCAATAGCTAAGCGGGTAGGGCATTTGCCTTGCATGACGGCAACCCAGGTTCGATTCCTCCTCCCTCTCGGAGAGCCCAGCAAGCTACCAAGAGTATCCCGCCCACCTGGCAGTGCCTGGCAAGCTCCCTGTGGCGTTTTCGATATGCTAGAAACGGTAACAACAAGTCTCACAATGGAGACGTTAGTGGTCCCCGCTCGAGCAAATCCACGAACAACGGGAGGACAGTGACAGTGACAACATAAACAATCTAAAAGAATAAAATACTTACTTGGATCATTTAGATCAGACAGGCTTGTTTTCCTTTCTTTCAAGTTTGCGATTCTGGCTACTTTTGCCCTAGGTAAAAGTACTCTTCCATTCGGCTGTAAATAGTTTTGTCTACCATTATCACAATCCACAATGATATCAAGTGGAACATTTCCCACACTGTTGCCATAAAACTTTCTGGGTAGTAATCCTGTGCTTTGTGACTTCTGTCCTCCGCAATTTTGATGAATTGATGCTCTCAACAATGCTCCAGAGGATTCATTCAAAGTTACAGCTTGCTTGCAGTTTTTTTGCAAGTCCTTAGGAAAAAGAATACCACAACTTTGGTATTTGGTCTGATTTTTCTCCTTTTCCACACTTTGCACAACCGTCACCCGTAAGTTCCAAAAGAATTAAAGAAACAGAAAACTTAGGTATTCCAGTTAAACATCATAGCATGAAAGGAACAAAAACAAATTCAAGATTAAGTCTCTCATGTCCCCTCATTATCATGATAGCTACCTAAGATTCCAAACATGTTAACTGAGATTTAGTATTGAATTTGCTGAGGAAAAAAAAAAGTAAAACTAGCTAGTCCAGCAACCTTCAAACAAACTCTTTAAACCCCTCATGGGACATTCTGAGTGCCTCATTTCCTAAAGCACCCAAGGCTTTATTAAAAAAGTCCTTGGGTGTAGGGGTGCATGGAGGGGGGACGGCCACAGTCTAAGAAAATCGGTACCTGAATCAGAGTTTCATATTTATTTGTCCTACTGTCCCCAGCTCAGGAAAAGAAAATTACTCAGCACACCCAACCGGAAATCTACCTTTAAGCAAACAAAGAGAAAGCTCCCAATTTCACCTGAGGCTACCACCATCAGACTCCTTCCAGCACTCCCCTCCCATTGAAATTATACACCTGGGGAAACAATGCTCTGGATACTTAATTTCTATAAAAAAATCTTTCTGAACCGACTTAGTTTACATAAGACACCTGGTGTCATAACTGTTACTCTGTTTTATACAAAAAATGCTGAGGCTTGAGAGATAGTAGAGCAGATGACGTACTTGCCCCAGAGACCCGAGATTCCACTGGTCCCCGCACACCACCTGGAGTAATTTCTAAGGACAGAGTCTACACATCACTGGCTCTGGCCACCCCCAAAATATGTAACAGTGCACTGCTTAAAGTTATAAAAGTCACAGAACCAAGAATAACTTTGAACATTAGAAAAATAAATTTAATCTAAGAAATAGTTAACAAAAACTGTTATAATACATTTTTAGTGCATAAAATATTTAAATTTTTAAATTATAATTAAAATACCATAAAAATATCAATAGTAGAAAGCTTGTCTTGCATGTGTGAAGCTCTGGGCTCAGTCTCCATTACCCCCCAAAAAAGGAAAGAAAGGCTTTTTCATAGTAAATTATCATGTGACTTGGAGACTATAATTCAGAAGGAGTTCAAGGTGTTAATTGAGTGGTTTTAATAAAACTTGTCAGATTCATGTTTATGAACAAGGTTCTTCACATCTATACACAAAAAAATATAAATATTCAGTTCTATCTTATTATGTAAGTATGTTTACACAAAGACACATGGTAACTGAGAAAAAAGTTAAAGACTCTAAGACAAAAGATACATTTGCAATTTTAAATTTTATGTCATATATTTGTTTCAACTTATATCAAGAGCTTCAAATCAAATAAATTAATAATCAAAATAACTCAAAGAGTGATTTAACGTTTTCAGTCTTATAGGAAAATAAGTGAATATTTGCTGATACGATGAAATGCCAAATGTAAATACAGTTATCATGTACTATTGTGTTTTTAATGCTAGTAGTAGGACTGACTAGTAGGTAGATGATAGTTATTTGTAATTAAATGCATGCACATCAATGTCAAAATCCACTGAACTGAGCACTCTTAAATTTTACCCTATGTAAATTTCTAACTCAAATTTGTAGTAAATGTACAATATGAGAAGGTATCACTGCTCTACATGTTATTCCTTTGTAGAAAGTAGAAACTGACAAATTATTTCCCTTCCTTGATATGACCATAACGAAGCCTTTATATTATACCAAGTTACATAACCAAGAAGTATCCCAGGTAACACAAAGGAATGAATACCAAGCTGTAAACCAACGGGACAAAAGTGAACTCAGAACATCTGTTCGCTCACTCAGCAGGAGTTAATTTTTTAAAAGTCTGTGAATATAAAGAACTAAGTTACGCCATTTGTAGAATCTAGGTACAAATTTTACTTTGTTCTTACAATTTTTAATAGAGTCCTTAGGTGTTAAAAATGCAGAGCTAATAGGTAAACAACAGAAACTGGTTGGAGGCAAAAACAGGACAGATTTGCTAATTCATTTTTGCTTACTGACAATAAGGAAGAAAATAGTATATTTAAATAAATTACAAACAATGCAAATGTCTGCCTATGTCTCATTCCACTTACAAAAGAAAACCCATAAACAAATATTACTACCAATATAAAAATGTTTTATCCAATAAGAATATCTAAATTCCACTGTGAAACCTCATTTTCATGGAGAGCAAAGAAAAGGCATTGCTATCTGAACATTTTTATGTTAAAAACTAGAAACTAAGGGTCCACAGAGCCAGTATTGGAGAGTCAATCACTGTTAGTGCCTCAGGGGTTGGGGCCACAGTACAGCAGTAGGGCGCAGGCCTTACGTGCAGTGGATGCAGGTCCGATTGCATCCTATAGGCTCCCAGAGCACAAGCAGGAGTGATTACTGAACGCAGAGCCAGGAGAACCCCCTAAGCAATGACGGATGTGGCTGTAAAACACAGCAGATAAAATGGACTTGCCTTGCAGACAGGTGATCCAGGTTTGATCCCTGGCACACCATAGTGTGCCCTTAACCCACAGTGACCCCTGAGCACACAGTCAGGAGTAAACCCTGAGCACAGACTGGTATGGACGAAAATCCAAATAAATAAAGATTAAGAATTCTATTTAATTAGCTATCAGTCTTAAAGTAAAACGTGAACAGTTTTGGATTACACACAGTAACAAGTCTCACAATGGAGACGTTGCTGGGCCTGCTCGAGCAAATTGTTGAACAACGGGAGGACAGTGCCACAGTAGAAGGCTTTAATAAAACATAGTAAATCTAGAGGCGTGGAGGAGAATACAACGTCTCAGAGTACCTGCCTTTCAAGCGTTCAGGCTGACAATTCATGTGGTGCTGCCACATGAACTAAGAGCAGTCTTCATGTACCCATCAACTCTGTTGCGCTACAAGTGATTTATGACCACTGCACACAGAGGTATGTAAGTCCCACAACTGAAACTAAGATGGGTGAGCACCACAATGATCACCCCTCATCCCCCCACAGGGAATGCCACAACCAGAATATGCTTAAACAGAACTAAAGAAGTGCAACCTTTCTGTGAATTCCACAGTTGAGTGTGTGTGACACTAATCATCAGTCACTGCCAATAATACAAAGGAAAGAGGAGATAAAATAAATCCCATCACATACCACATACTACATATGATCTGCTAGTTTCTATACCTAACAACCAACCATATACACCAAAAGAGTTTGCATTATAAAAATGGCAGGAATAGAATGTGCTGGCAAAGATGTTGAGAAAAAGAAACTATCATACAGTTTTGGTAGGAACGCAAATTTGTGCAGTTACTATGTATAACAGAATAGTGCTTTCTCAAAAAAAAACTAGCAAAGAGCGAGCCAGGTAGTGAGTGAATGGGGAGAACGAGCCTATCTTACATGTGAGCAATCCTGGCTCAATCTTTAGCAACACATATGTTCACCCAAGCACCATGAGACGTGATCCCAGAGCCGCCTAGGAAATAATTCAAAGGGGTGGAGCCATGCACGCCTTGCATGCAGAAGCACCAATTTTAATCCCTGCCACTGCAATGCACCCAAACTGCCAGGGCCAAACATCTAACCCTCAGACACACACATTGCTAGACTGAGTGGGGCGGGAGAGAGCTCTGGCAGGAAAGGAGGGCAGGAGGCAGGGAAGGAGGGAGGGCGGCTGGGCAGGCAGGCAACCACACAGAGGAGATATAAAATCTATTCTGGGCATGCACTAAAAAGAAATTAAGAACCACTGGCAGGGGAGTAAAGAGCCAAAAAATAGGGTCAGACATCTAGCACAGTGCACAGGTTTTTGTCTTCCATGTGACCAACCCAGGTTCAAGTACCAGCACTCTATGTGGTCCCCCCAAAGTCTGCTGGGAGTGAAACATAACAGGGTCTTTGCCTTTCACGCACCCAACCTGGGTTTGATCCCCCGCATCCCATGTGGTCACCTAAGCACTGCCAGTAGTAATTCCCGAGTGCAGAGCCAGGGGTAGCCCCTGAGCATCGCTGGCTGTGACCCCAAAAAGCCAAAAAAAAAAAAAATAGGAGAAAGTAACATACACTAAAATATTAAGTGTAAGTGGGCAACTGTGGCAGTTGTAACAAATGCAGAAACACACACACACACACACACACACACACACACACACACACACACACACCCGCCCTACATCTGAGGGTAGGGATAAGAAGAGAGAACACCACAAATACAAAAAGCTAGGAAAACTTAACAGACACACGGACAGGCATTCTTTTTTTTTTTTTAAAGAGCACCTATAAATTTAAAATCCTTTGAGAACTATTATGGTTGACAGCAACAATTGGAATGTGGTATAAAGAGGAATTAAGAAATTGTTTTCAGAAATACACATTTTGGAGAGCTGAGAAATTATCTCATAATGGCAGCAAAGTTTGCCGAAAGATTCTAGTATTCCTCTAGTTCTGAGAAAAGGACCCCTAGAATGAGTACTAAAACTAAAACAATAAAATTGCCACCTGATTTGCAACAAATAATTTTAGTACCAACCTCTAAATCGCTTAAGCATTTTTTTGAAGCAGGAGAGAGAGTAGAAGGTGTGGACTGATAGACATTACTATGACGTTTCTGAGGTGTTTTCCTTTTAGTTTCAGACTCCACATGTGAATCTGACTCCTCTGTTTTCTTCATTATACGATCTAAAAGAAGAAAAACAAAACACCTGAAAACTGAAATTCCATTTAAGAATTCCTTATATCTTGTTGCTATGAAAAATTACTTTTATTCAAGTTAGTTTCTGATTACTGTAATTTACAATATCGTTAATGACAGAGTTACAAATAATGTTCCAACACCACACCCTCTGCGAGAGTATCCTTCCCCCAATCCTTAATCAACAACCCCATAACAAGAACTTTAAGATAAAGTAGTCATTTCCTAACTGTTTCTATTTTTCACTCAACAGGAGCTCTACAATGTGGGCCACTTCATCAAATGTTATCAATATTCCTTTCATTTTCTCTGGCTACTCAAGTCAACAGAAGCAATTCCTGCACCAAATCACACAAGTATAAACAGGCTTAATAGCAATCAGAAAATTTTATTTTTCGAAAAATAGTAGTACAAAGTTGTATAGAACTATTTAGAGGAAAATGAACAAATGCTAAACCTACTTGTCTTTCACATTCCAGTAATACCAAAAAAAGGGTCTGTTTTATCATTAAAAGGTACCTGCTTTGTAAGTGTGATGGTTTTAAGCTCTATCCTTGGTGTTGCCTACACAAGCCAAGCATGAATCTTATGGTTCTGCCACCCAGCAGCACCAGCTGGTGTGCACAACACTCATCACACACTGCAACTAAAAGACGGGTGAGCACCACGGTCAGGAGTACAATCCCTAGCTTGGCAAGCATGTGAGAATCAGCGAGCCCCAGCTCTACGATCAGAATGTGTGTGAGCATGACAACTCTAAGTGTGAAACCCTTTCTCACCCAGACTCCTACAAGCATATGCTCAGCACTGCAACTGCAGTGAAAAACTTATAACAAGCAGCCTGGCTGAGTGTGTGAAGACCCCAAACCCCCTCTAATTTTTCCAGTTTTTCATGTTTTCTGCCAATTATTGTACATACCTGAGACTTATCCATATATATGGATAAATTATATATATGGATCAATCTATATACATGTACACTTTAATCTTTAAAAAATATCATTTTCATTAAAATACAAATTTACATTGATTTTTGTCGGACACTAAAAAGTGACTTTTTGGGGTTCGTTTTTTGGACCACACCCTGGGATACTCAGGGGTCACTCCAGTGGTACTCAGAACATTTGGTGTCAGAGACTGAACTTCTGCACTGGGAGCTCTCTTTCCAGCTCCAGAAACTGACCTTTTAGAGAAGGTCATTACTTCCTAATTCTACAATCACTCCTCTCCACAACAACTAGCTCATCAAATCCGTTCATGTTTCTAATCACATCAAAATTAACAAATGAGGAGACAAGTAGTCCAACCTGAGAGAAAATGAGAATTTTTATGAAAAAGGAAAATCATTTTAAGAACTTGATACCTAAACAAGGCAATCTATTATGTGCTGAAGGAAAAAAAAAAGAAAAGAAAGACAAAGAACAAGATAATTAGAAATTTAAGATGACACCTTTGAAACCCAACCAAGTATGACAACTCATATATGGGAAGTAAGAATAATCCATGAGGGGCCGGGGAGACACTACAGTGGGTAGGGTGCTTGCCGTGTATGCAGCCAACCTGGGTTTGACCTGTGGCATCCCATATGGTCAACAAACCCACCAGGAGTGATTCCTGAGCACTGTCAGGAGTAAGCCCTGAGCACACAGTCAGGTATGGTCTCAATTCCCTACCCCTCCCCTCGAAATTTTTTTTAAAGGCTTAACAAAAAAGCTCTCTCATCTACTATTATAAGTTGTTGAATAAATTCAAAAGTATTTGTAACAAGGCAGGCTGACATACCTAAAAACACATGACCTAATGAAATCATTGCATCTTTCTGAAATCAATCTGTAGAATGGTAATAAAACCTATTATGCTGTTCTTCTCAAAGAATTAGAATTTACTCCGATCTAGCAAGAATACAGTGCTAAAGAGTATGGGCATTGACATTAAAAAAAAAAAAAAAAAAAGAAGACCCAAACTTAAATACCAGTTCTAAAAATAAGATCAAATAAAATGCCATTCTGCATCCTTAGCAAATTATATTGATTCCTCTGTAGTGTCTGTCTTCTTACTGTATCACAGGAAATGTAGGTAAAGTTGAATTTATAGGGATCTTGAATAATGAACTAGGATAAAAGCAAATAATGAATATAAGGCACTTGATTTAGACTCTAGTAATTATTTTAAAGCTAAATAGAGACTGACGGCCTAAGAGTATTAATTTTGAGGCCTCCGTGAGTGAAACAGAATTATATTCAAGACATTCTGGGTAAGAATTAGTGATTTTTGAACATTCAAAGACCTGGAATGAACAAGATGGAAACTACTAGTATTAAGAATCTCTGCTCCAGACCAATAGAGCTCCTCTGATTTGTCTGCAGATTGGTATGGTGCCGGTCTATGGGTGTGCAAAGACTGAAGAATGCTGGACATTTGTCTTGCATGTAGCTGACCTATTTGATCACCTGAGCACTTCTGTCAGTGATCCCTTAAGCACTGCCAACTGGCCCAAACGCCTTTCTCCCCCGGGGAGGAGACGGGAGGGAATCAGTGCTCTAGATTAATCAGTGTTTTCCAAAGTGGGCAATACTTCTGCCTGGGAGGTGAGGGAGGCAGTGCTGAATTTATAGCCTTAGATGGCATTTTCAGCTTCCTTCAAGAAGGAAGAGTTCCAGAAGGGCCCTGACGCTTAAATTTTTTTCTGGAAAGGAAGCAGAAGGTCAAACAAGTCGAGAATCTCCGCTCTGGGTAATGAAAATCAATTTAACAGCAAGACATTGTTTAATAAGTGCTATTCGTGTGTCCCCTCCTCTCTCCATCCCTCCCCTCCGCCCCCCCATGGCAATGACCAAAGTCTTCACAAGTGGCAAGTATCCTATTCTGCTGAACCATACCTTGGCCCCTGGAGTTTTGCAACACAGTAACAGTAGCACTGTAGCACTGTCCTCCCACTGTTCAGAGATTTGCTTCAGCAGGCACCAGTAACATCTCACAACAAATTGTGAGACTTGTTGTTACTCTTTTTGGCATATGGAATACAATATGGGAATACAGTATGGGAAGCCTGCCAGGCTTTGCCCTGTGGGCAAGATACTCTGGTAGCTTGCCAGGCTCTCTGAGAGGGGCGGAGGAATCGAACCCAGGTCGGGCATGTGCAAAGCAAACACCCTACCCGCTTAGCTATCGCTCCAGCCCACAGTAACAGTACGGAAAAAAAAAAATTATTTCAAGGCAAATACAAATATCTACTCACAACTGTTTCCCAAATCTACTCTTAACATAGGTAAATCAATTATCTCTCTTACTCAGAGGTTGCTTAGTATGTCAAAAGTTACATGATAGAGTATTATGACAATACAGCAAAAATAAACCTTGAAGTCATAAAAACCCATCAATATTTAATAAATGGGTGCTGAATTCATCAAGAATGCTTTAAAAAAGACCTCCTCTGCTCCTCCCCCCCAAAAAAACCCACTTCAAGCTAGAATCACATAAAGGTGCTATCATTTTTTGATTTTAGGTCAAACTCAATTAAGTCTCATATCAATGATGAAAATGGTCTTTTAGATATTTCAATTATACCTGGAACTAGTCTAAAGCTGCTGCCGTAACTATATCTAATTCACATATAACTATTCAAAATCCTTTTAGTTGAATCAAATAAAAATGACACACTTACCAACTCCTTGGGGCCGACTTAACCTTACAGGATTATTTCCAAATTTTTGGAAATGAGGTGGGTATTCCTTCCTAGAAAATGAAATTTGAGATTGTTTATTCTAACAGAAAAAGTTTTCTGAAGGAAAAAGGGATACTTACACTTTTACTAAAATTATACATAACACTATGATATTCTATGGGCAGCAAGTGTATTTTATTAAGACTGCCAATCACAATGCCTATAGCAAACATTTTTAAACATTAATGAATTAATCCAAACGAATGTTCTTTTGAAGAGGTTACTTTGGAAACTTGCATTATTCCCAAATGCACAAAATTCTGGTATTTTTCTTTTTGAATTGCCTACATCGTTGATTTACAAAACTGCTTTATCTTTCAGAACTGCCTTCATATTCAGTTTACAAAAAAGTCTTACTTTATTTAAAAAAAACTTGCCTATAATAACACAATTCGCCTGATTTTACTGCAAATATATGGCTATTGTAAAAAACTCAAAAGGGGCCAAAGAGATTGCACAGCAAATAAGATGCTTTCCTTGCATATGTTATACGCAGTTTTGAAGTTTTGATCCGTGGAGGTCCCTTGAGTACCGCCAGGAGTAATCCCCGAGATCAAAATTTGGGGCCAGAGCAAGACCACTGACAGGGTTGAAAGCATGCTTGGTCTGAGTTTGATCCCTGAGACCCCAGGGTCACCTGAGAACTGCTGGGAGCAACTCTCAAGCACACTGGGAGTAGTCCCTGAGTATCACCAGGGATGGCCCCAAAACAAAAGCTAATTTAAAAAAAAGAGAGAGAGAGAGAGAGAAGTTAATAAGATACAAGCCTTGAAGACAAGTCCAAAATTACTAAAAGCGTTATGTAGAAAACCAGCAATCAGGAGCACACAAGTATTATTAGTCTTCAACTATGATTACATTAAAGGGATATAAACGGTTGCTTTAATTATTTTACTATTAGACTTAACAATTGATTTTTCGGAATTTTAATTGCAATGCTAGTGAATAAGTCTCCTAAAATACTGCAAATTCAAAACCTCAGTTTTGGAAAAAGCAAAATCCTAAGGCTAACATGATGATAAACAAACACATTAAATAAGGAGGTACATGGGCTGGAGAAACAGAAAGGCAGGCAGGTGCTTGCCATTCATGTGGCCGACATGGGTACCACCAAGTGTGGCCCCAAAACAAAATCAGTAAAAATAAAGCGGTAAAGAAAAGGTACAATAAACATGGAGCTCTAGCAGTGTTTTCCCAACAAACAGAAATGGGCAAATTGAAAAATATGCCCATTTTATTTAAATAGGAAATAAAAGACATTACTCTGTTATTTGTGAATCCATTCACACTAGTGATCTTTCAGAACTGTCTTCATATTCAGTTTACAAAAAAGTCTTACTTTTTTTATTAAAAAAAAAAAACTTGCCTATAATAACACAATTCGCCTGATTTTACTGCAAATCACTAGCTATCACTTTGACACATTAACTCCGAAGAAATTTTCCTGTAAGGATTTTCATGCGGGAGGCAGAAAGAGGCTGGACCACACACCCAGCTATGTTCAGCGCTTACTCCTGGCTCTGTGCTCACGGGTCATTTCCAGCAGTGCCAAGGGACTGTATGTGGTGCCAGGGATAGAACCCATGTTGGCCACATGCAAAGCCGACACCCTATCCACTGTGTTATTGCTCTGGCTCCAGATTTTGTAGTCTTATATTGTAGAAATTAAAACTAAAAAAAAACTTAAATGAGGGGGCTGGAGAGATAACACAGCGGGGAGGGCGTTTGCCTTGCACGCGGCCGACCCGGGTTCGATTCCCAGCATCCCATATGGTCCCCTGAGCACCGCCACGAATAACCCCTTGCATCGCCAGGGGTACATTGCCAGGGGTAACCCCCTGCGTCGCCAGGTGTAACCCCCCCCCAAAAAAAACTTAAATGAGAAAATAAAATGAGAGCAGAAATGAAAAGTAGAGTCAAAGAGATGCCCAAAAGATCAGTGACCAAAAGCTTTCTATGCAAAAGGGCCAGGTTCAAGTGCAGCATTGCATGGTCCCCGGAGCATCACCAGTAGTTAAGCCCTGCTTACAAAGCTAGGAGCAGCCCCAGAGTACAACAGGATGTTGGTCCCCACAAAGTTAACAAAGAGAGACTATCCTGTGTCAAGTACTATTCTTAAGTGCTAATTCTTTCAGCTATCACAATAATCTTATAAATCATGTACTATTTTATTAGCACATAATGGATTGGGAAACTGAGGCACAGTAACGTCTATTCATTTGCCCATGGTCACACGACTAGGGGGAGAAAACTCTCAGAATCTTAATGCTGGGATACTGAATCAATATTGATGCATGGTATCATATCTGCTCAGTTCTTGGTATAACTGGGCAACTTCCATGTGCCAAAACTTCAAGATGTTATGAAGATAATAACTGCTTTAAAATACTATTGTACTAATGCTTTTAAAAGAATCAAGGACTTCAGTTCCTAACTACACTACAATGAGTTCAAAATAAAATGCACGTGTTTTAATAGTTGATATAACTTCACACTAAAGACAATATACACTTCAATTTAAAGAAAAAAAATGAGTTTGAATGGATGAGGCTGCCACTGTTGCTCCATATCTGGTTGTTGCTGTTTCCATTCCTTGTTGATGCTACATAAGCTTTCAGCAGGTAGATATTGAACACTTTTGTTTCACGGTCAAGATAGGATCAGAGGCCATGAATACTGAAAACTGATTTGTTTTCTTGTTTTACCACCATCATTGTATCTTCTGCCTCATTTTGATTTATAAGTTTAGAAAACCTACAAGAATTATATGGGTTTCCCAGTAATAACATGAAAATTTTGCTACTGTTTTGGTGAAGAAAATCAGTATTTCAACCTAAATAAAATCTGACCTTAGCTTAAAAACAGACTACATACATAACAGCTCAAGCAATCAATTATTTAAAATTCTCATGTCTATAACTCCAGAAAAAGATACCAATTTTAAAATTCAACAGAAGCAACAAATCTATAGCAAAATATGAAGATACTCCTATGGTAAAGTCCCAAAACTTAGGCTTTATATGTATTTTACATGGTAGGTAACACGGATAGCCTCAAGTACTAAAAATTAACAGGAAAAAGTTGTCAGAGGTTGATCACAAAATATGCAAATACAAATATTTTGGATTTGTCCGTTTAAACCTGCATGACTACTTATATGGAGTATGTTACAAGTACAGTCTTACTCAGCAATATCTGACAAAAGTCAGATCTAAAATACCAAGACATTTATGATAAAAATCCTACGTTAGTGGACTGTGCTCTTTGCAGTTTAACATAGCACACACTGACCCACGCACTGCCAAGGAAGAACAAACATCATCAAAGATATCACGAAATATTCATGTCCCTATTGAACATTATCATTTAACAGACTATGATATATATGCCAAATCCTCTGTAACTTATGGCCATCTGTATCCAGTATTTGTTGTTTCTCTATCTAAAATTATTGCAAAATTAATTTTACAACAAACTACAAAAATAAAAGCACACATTAAAGAATTTCACAGAATGAAAGCAGTATTAACTTCATAAGAAAATTAAAAGAACCTTCCAATCATCAACTGTTTTATGTTCATTAAAATGTCATTTAGGGACTAGGGAAAGTCCATGGGTTCACAAGGTAGAGCCTTGGCAGTCTCTGGCACCACTCTATACTTGAGCCTTACCACTGAACTGCTGGACTAGTTGCCTGAGTATCACTAGAAGTGAACTCGCAAGACCTCTGAGTACCATTCGAGAGGTCTCTAAAATAAATACAATTTCTACTTTTGCTATTATTTTCAGTGTCAGAGCCAGGACACCAAGGTCTCACAGAGAGCAAAGCATGCAGCTCTACAGCTGAGGTACATACACAGTCAAGAATTTTGCGTAAATGATCAATAACCAAACCTGATGCTAATTTTTATGTCTGACTACTTCATTATTCTACAAATGCTAAAGTCTGAAGTTCCAGTTTGGCCTAAAACGCAAACCTAGCTTTCTGTGTGGCTAATTCTTTCTCACCCTGAATATTAAATTGAGAAGCTTCCCAGATAACTCATCTAAGGGAGAGTCAGGAATTAGCCCTAAGTACCGTTGGGCATGGCCCCAAAACAAAAACAAAAGAAAAAAGAAGGGAAAAAAATGTGTGTGTATTGGGACAAACTGATCCACACACTTGAGTTGATTGATTGGTTGGGGGGGGAGGGAAGGAGGGGGAGAGTTTAAAAAAAGGAACACTGGGTGGAGTTCTTGAGGTATGTGGGCACACTGGTGAAAGGTTGTGGTATTCGAATTATATGCATGCAACATCACTCCACTAACAGGATCAAAAGCCACAGAATCTCAATAAATTAAAATATTAAATTATATGTGCTAGGAACCATAGCAGTGCCCCATCACCAAGTTATCCATGTCCCGAGGGCTATGTATACCATGTCTACAGAAAACCCTATCTTTCAGTTGGCTCCTTTTTAAGTGATCCTACTCTTACTTTTTGCCTTTTACTGCCATGAAATTCACAAAACTTAAAATTCAGAATGCTTCACTTAACTACCAAGTCACTCTGACTTTTGGGAAGGAGAAACATGAAAATCTCCTCTTGTTCCAATTTTACTGTATGTGTTACTGAAACAAGTACCTTTTTGTATAGTTGCTCAGTTTCTAAGACTTCTAAAACTCTTAAAATTTGGTGTTCCATCTTGTGTTCTTCCTAAACAAATCCTATAATCAGCCTTTTCTCTGCATCTATTTCCTTAAAGTGGTCCTGAAAATTTAGGTTCTTGGTACCATTTATTTCCCTTCAATTTAACGTTTTCATTAAATTTTACAATGTAATAGAAAATACAATTGGTTCAGTCCATGCTTAAATTTCATTACTCTGAACACACAAATCAGTCAAAATTTCAAAGTCATACAAATGTACTCTAACCAAGACCTCGTATCAGAGCTTATACAGTCAGCAAACGATTAAATACTGAGCCCTGACAAAATGTGCTCTAAAGATTTGGATTTCTAATTCCTACTT